ATAGTTGAAATCTCAAATTACACCCTCAAAGATCAAAAATTTTAATTTGTACCCTCAAAAATAGAAATTTATATCAATGTGCACCTAAAACTAAATTGATAAATTATATTTAGATCCCCTAATACTTGTCACTTAATCATTTGAATCCTTTCACATTTAGAATATTACTCCTACATCTCATAACGTTTGTGCACGCGTAACACGTAACCCTTCTTCATTGATATCTGTTAATATAACCGTTAAAAATATGATTTTATCCTAATAAAAAATTATAATGTCCAATGGTAAGTTTGACTTTAAATTTTAGAGTATATCGAACTCACAAAATAAAGGGTAATATAAAATTATAATTTTTTATTAAGATAAAATCATATTTTTTAACGATTATATAAACAGTTATCAATGAAAAGAGATTACGTGTTACATGTGTACAAACGTCATGAGATGTAGGAGTAATATTCTAAATGTGAAGGGGTCCAAATGATTAAGTGACAAGTATGAGGGGATCTAAATATAATTTATCAATTTAATTTTAAGTACATATTGATACAAATTTCTATCATTGAGAGTACAAATTGAGATTTTTATCTTTGGGGGTGCACATTGCTACAAATTTCTATCTTTGAGGGTACAAATTGAGATTTTTGATTTTTGGGGGTGTAATTTGAGATTTCAACTATCTTTAAGGGTGTAACTTGCAATTAACCCACATTTATTTGAGAAGTATTGTGTACAAAAATGTGTATTTTATGTTAATTTGACATGCTTATTAATTATTTATATAGTGTGTTACTCGTTCACAAATTTGAGAAGATTTGATAAATTACCTATACAAATCTAAAATGAAACGATGCAACACAACAAGATTTCCATCTAGATTTGATAAATTACCTATACAAATCTAAAATCAAACGATGCAACACGACAAGATTTCCATCTACTGCATAGTTTACTAAATTATATTACCGTGCAATCTTATATTTTGATCCGGAATCAACCCCCTTATTAATGCACTGCATATTGATCAAGGGGACAGCTATTATAGAAACCTATTCAAAGATAGCTCATGAATATGCCTTTAACTTGAAATAGAGATAATCCATATTTTACAGTTGCTTTGGCATTTTTAGTACTAAAATTTGCTACTTTAATGAATTACTGACCTATATTTTTATCTTCATATTAGAAGGAAAAAAAACATACATAAATCTGCTCCTCAACTTTCAACAAGAAAATAAAAATTTATCATATGATGTGATAAATATCCCCCATTGATCGCAAATATAATCTGAACAAGCAACACCATCTGTTGAAATTCTCATATGCACAGTTTGGATTTGAGTGGAAGATAGCAGAAAATTTTGAGGCTCGAGTGTGCCTTATTATATAATGGATACTAGTCCTTATTGCTGCAAGTGATCCTAACCTGCCCAAAGCTTCCCAATCGTACATTAGTGTGACTGATTCCTTAAAATCCCTATGGATCTGTTTGGTTTTCCGGACCAGTTGTTGCAAGTTTGTTGACTAGAGCCAGTGCATTGCTAGTGATACAAGTCATGTTTGTAACTCGATTTTGCAATAAATTCACCTGGTTAATTTCCTCTTTGTCATCAAACCCATCCAAGCACGTGTCTTCATCTGTAAGAGCCGCACTCATCCACGTGATTACATCCCCCATTTGGTCGTTAAATGTCATGCCATTAAGCTTTCTTAGAACACCAAGTGATCTGTGAAGGTTGTCCAGTGTGTCCTCCAAACACTCGATGCAGTCCGAAAGAACAGCTCGATCTCTTCCCCTCATAGAATTACTTCTGTTCAATTTCAGCAAGTACTCAAACACTGTCTTGGCTTCACTTATTGTCACAGAAACCCCAGCCCTTGCCCATTTACTTGGGTTTCTTTTAGCCTTGTTTGAAAATGGTGCGAGCGAGTGGATGCAAAGATCGCGGTATTGAGTCACGCTACATGCATCTCGAACATAGCTGTCACCATTTTTAGAAGATTCTGATGAGCATAAAGGTGTTAACCATGAGACGAGAACCAAGGTTATGAAGACGTTGACAGACGCCATTTCAATTATTGGAAAGAAAACAATAGCACTGAAACTAGCCTAACTAAACCATATGGAATTATCAGAATGTGGATGTATTTTGTGAGCTTTGAAGTGAAAAACTTATCAGGGTGAGCTTTTAAAGAAAGGGTTTTGAATGAGGTGGAAAGGGAGGGTTGAAGCTTTTTCTGAGGAGTTTGGTAGAAAAGCAAGGAGGTGGTGAGGGCTATAAAGAGTCGGAAGTGGTGGTACTGGTGAAATGCGATGGGAAAGAAAATGAAGATCATGTGAAGGGGCGGTGAGTTTCTCGTGAATTTTGGAGGAAGAAGATCCTTAAGGATTCTTCTCTAGCTGATCAGACCTTCTGCTAAGGTTCTTGTTATCTCTCTCTCTCTCTTTTGTTTTTCCTATGCAATAATTGCCTAGTGATAGCTTCGTCATTTGACGTACTCGGTTCTAAAGGTGGAAAAGGTTAGATGTACACAATTTTACTTTTACAAACAGATAAAATATTTTAACCAAATTAATTTTACCGTTATACCAAAGTTCGCTCAATACACCATATCTAATACTATTTGGATGTGTGAGCAAGAAAACACAGCATTGTGATCCACTAGAATAGTTGAGTAAAAAAAAAAAAAGAAAATACTATTTAAAGCTGAAAATTTGACATAATTTGTTGATCTAATAATGTGGCTTTATTGAAATTATTGGATAAATACCAAGTTCCAATATTTAATGGAGTTCACAATTAATTCAAATGTTATAGTGAATTAGATCAGTAAATTAAGTCAATAAATTAAGTGTCAAATAGCATTGATAAAAAAAATAGTTGTAAAGCTTTCGTTTTGTGAGAAAAATTTTGGGTTAATTATAAATTGCACTCTGAAAGTTGGTTCGAATCTTAATTTATACCCCCAAAGATAAAAAATTTCAATTTCCAACCTCTAAGAAAGAAATTTATATCAATGTGCATCCCCAAAGATCAAAAATCTCAATTTACACCCTCAAAGATAGAAATGTGTATCAATGTGTACCCCTAAAGATCAAAAATCTCAATTTGCACCCTAAAATATAGAAATTTGTATCAATGTACACCTAAAACTAATCGTCGTCAGTTTACTTCCTAAAATTAAATTGATAAATTATATCTAGATCCCCTCACACTTGTCACTTAATCATTTGAATCTTTTTACATTTAGAATATTATTCTTACATCTCATGACGTTTGTGCACGTGTAACACAAAACCTTTTTTAATTGATATCTGTTAATATAACCGTTAAAAAATATGATTTGATCCTAATAAAAAATTATAATTTCATATTACCTTTTATTTTGTGGGTCCGATATACTCTAAAATTCAAAATTAAGCTTACAATTTGAATGTCTAATGGAATGTAGGTAGTTGTATAATATTTTTTATATTCAATGCAATATATCACTTAAACATAATTATTTAAATACCCAATTGACAGCACATTTTAGATTGAGAGTATTTTTATTAGAATTTTATAACTATTAAAAAATATGATTTTATTCTAATACAAAATTATAATTTCATATTACCCTTTATTTTGTGAAAGGGTCCAAATGATTAAATGACAAGCATGAAAGGACCTACATATAATTTATCAATTTAGTTTCAGGCAGCAAATTGACGGCAGTTAGTTTTAGGTGCACATTGATACAAATTTATACCTTTGAGGGTGTAAATTGAGATTTTTAATCTTTGGAGGTACACATTCATACAACTTTCTATTTTTGAGGGTATAAATTAAAATTTTTGATCTTTGGGAGTGAAAATTGATATTCGAACTATCTTTCAGGATGCAATTTACGATTAACCCAAATTATCCCATCTAAATACCGATCCTTAAGATAGCCATTGTGTGAGCATCATGTGAAAACTTAGGTGGATTAAGTCGAATCCAACCCTAACATAACCCAAAAAAAATTGGTACTATGACCAGAGATGTTAAATACATACTCATGTTGAGTTTCTATCAAAAAAATTAGCACCCGATTAACTAGTTTCGGCTAATATATAACAAGATACGTAAATGTGAAGCTAGGGTTGGGACATTTCCTTCATCTGGGTCACTCTCAATTTCTTCCGTCCAGCTTCTCCCTCTATCGTATTCAAAGTCCGATCCTTCTTCTTCTTCTCTGTGTAACTGATTTGTTGAGCGGTAGGTCTCGTATAGTGCATATAGTTTGAGGATAAGGTGTTTGATGAATTGAGTAGTTGAACAATGGGAAGATGTGGAAGTGATTAACTTTTGAAGGAGTGTGTGTGACGGCAACCCAAAAAAGAGCTCTGACTGAACCCGACAATAAGCCCAAATCTATTTTTAATTAATAGTTATGAATTATTTAGTTTGAAATTAATGAATTTAATTAATAGAGACAGTACCAAAATGTATGCCAACTAAGTTTGTCAATAGATTAATTTTTTATCCAAATTCGATTATATCCATTCCAAATATATAAATATTGAAAAAACTAAGGAATTAAGTAAAGAAATTTAGATATTTAACAAATTTAGTTAAATTAAGTTATTCAGATTTGATTGAATTTTCAAAACAAATTTAAAATTTATAATAGATACAGATTTCAATTATAAAAATAAAATTCATCAAATAATCGAATTAAATTTGGATCAAATTTATAAAATTAAATTCGAATCTGAATCATTAAAAATTTGAATTTTTGACAACCCTTAAAATACCTACAAATATTTGGGCCTGATTATTTGAGAAAATTTGGGGTCTGATTCACTTTTGTAGGCTTGTTTGACGAAAAGTTCACGCAAAAATTTTATTTGAATTTAAAGTCCATTCCAATCCCTAGCGTCTGTGTTTTTTTTTTTTTTTTTTAAATTAGGGCCTAAAGCCCGTATTTTAGAGGTCATATCTGTGGGCCGACCGGCCTTGATTAAAACCCTAAAGCTCAACCCCTGGTTTATCACCAGCCTCTCCACCACAGTCGGCCGTTTTACCCTCCGAACAGTAGCAGTCGGCCGTTCTCTCTCTCTCTCTCTCTCTCGATTCGGAACAGTAGCAGTAGAAACGCTGACCTGATGGCTCGTTTTCGAAATGTAAGCGATTCCTCTTTGTTTATGATCTCTTTGCAACCGAAAGGAGCTTATAGTAATTGATAGTTTTTGTGTCGTATGATTAATATTAATATGTGTGTGAATTGAATCAGAAGAAGAGAAAGGATTTTGTTAAGCCGGTTGTGAAGAAGCAACAGCCGAGTGTCGATCATATAACAGGCGACAAGATTCCAAAGAGCTTCGTATTTTCGAGAGGGAAGATGCCTGGGTCTCTGAGACAACTGCAAATGGACTTGAGAAAGCTGATGCTTCCTTATACTGCCCTCAAGCTTAAGGTAAATCTCATCCTTCCCTGTTCTTTGAATCAAATAAGTTTGGCTCATAGTTAAGGTGTGTATTCAAAGTAGAGCAATAGCTTAACCTTGTTGGCCTTTTGGATAGTTATGAATCACATATTTCAGTAGAATATGTAGTTGATTGGTAGTTCTGAAATTGATGGCTGTCTTTCGTAAGCAATATTTGGTTTCCGTTCTGATTATTCTTTCTAACCACCAAAGTGGGTAAAATTTTTCTGATGTAACATATCTTATTCCTGCAATAAGGAGCACAGGCTTTTGGAGGTTACATTTTGAATACTGCTATAAGGCCCCTATGCTGTATTTTTTGTGCCATTAGGTTTTGAATGTGTAAGTTTGTGCTTATTTGATTGGTTTTCAATTGCAGGAAAAGAAGCGAAATAATCTCAAGGACTACTTGAATGTTGCAGGGCCAATGGGTGTTACACATTTCCTCATACTATCAAAAACTGAAACTGCACCGTACTTGAGGGTTGCGAGGACGCCACAGGGCCCAACACTTACATTCAAAGTACATGAGTACTCATTGGCTGTTGATATAGCTCAATCCCAGTTGCGACCCAGATGTCCTCAAGATCTCTTCAAGAATGCACCCTTGGTAATTTTTAATCAGCACATATGTAATATTCATGCACATGACCCACACCCACACTCACATGTACATGTTCTCCTTACTGTTTCAATCAATTCCATGTCGTTATGGTGTCAGTATTATATGCATTGGCCAATGGCCAAGGAATGTTTAGATATTGGCCACTGACAACAAATTGTGCACACTGCTTCTCTTGGTATCACCATGATGTTGTCATATGTAATAGAAGTTTGAATTGAATTTGGCAGATTGTGCTATCTGGTTTTGGGACTGGGGAGCAACATTTAAAGCTCACAACAATTATGTTTCAGAACATTTTCCCAGCCATTGATATCAACACTGTGAGTGACTATATAGCATCAATCAAACATCGCTATCAGCTTGTCTACTGCCATTTCTTTAATATGTTGCATATGTGCAGGTCAAACTTTCTTCATGCCAGAGAATTGTGTTACTTAATTACAATAAGGAGACAAAGCTTATTGATTTTCGGCATTATTCCATTAGATTACAGCCAGTCGGCGTCTCACGTAGGATTAGAAAATTTGTGCAGAACCATCAAGTGCCCGATTTAAGAAGGCTACAAGATGTGAGTGACTTTGTGACAAAGTATGTATCTCTCTCTCTCTCTCTCTCTCTCTCTCTCTCTCTCTCTCTCTCTCTCTCTCTCACACACACACACACACACACACGCATACAACACACATAGGCTCAAAGTTTTGAGTGGCCGGAGTTGATGGAAGTGCAGGTGTATGTTGTATTATCAGACACAAATTTGTGGGTTATTTCTACTGTTTTTTTGTTCTGTGGTTATTCGCTGAGGTCAAGTTATTAGAGCTTCATTTATCATGTCATCATTTATTGTTGCAGTATTTGACAAAAGTATTGGTTGAAATATGTCAACTACACTAAATCTTTCACCCATTGTGTTGGTTTTTTACCTAGTTTTCATGTGTTATTTCTATTTTAAGCTTTTTTTATCATTTGAGTTACCTTTAAAATGAAATAAAAGGATGGCGTAGCTAAAATTGATCAAGCAATGTATCAGTTTTATGTGGGATAATGGATGTTGATTTTTGGTGCCATTTAGATGATGATACTTGTGTCTCCGAGTATAGGTTTGAATTGTTTTAGTTGGTTTATTTAAGGTGCATTATGTGTAAATTGTTTACTTACCTGAATACCTCCGGATACCTGAGAGTGCTCCAAAAGAAAGAGAGAGGAGGGGAGAAGAATAATTGTGGTTGCGCAATACAAACTGATGGATTTTGCTAATGTTACTAACTTTCAATTTCCTCTTTCTGTGGAGTAAGGGCTGGTTATGGATCAGAAAGTGAAATGGACGACGAAGCAGCGACTGTGAGCCTTCCAAGTGACCTTGGTAGGGTTAATCGGGCATCAACAAAAAGTGCTGTCAAGCTTCAAGAGATCGGACCTAGAATGACTCTTCAACTCATCAAAATTGAAGAAGGATTGTGTTCAGGTGGAGTCATATTCAGTGAATACGGTATGACATCTCATGTCATTTTACATTTTGTTTAGTTGCAATCAATCTTAATGGAAATATAATATGCCCTTCCTTTCCTAAGCATTTAAATTCTCTATTTTCTGATTGCTTCTTATTTTCTTGAAGATTTCAATTATACAATTAAACCTCCAAAACTATTATGTGAGTTTCTTTACTTAAAAAGAAAAAACAATAATCAATTGTCTACTTTTTGGGAAACTATTTCCTTTTATTCAATTCAGGATAAGTTTACGATCTCCGGCAACGTGAATTGAAATTTTTTAGCACCATCTGTTAATGATGATATTTGAGCCATCATAGCAAGCTGATGCCACTTGCATCTTTAGAGTCACCTATCTGGAGTTATTACTTGACCAAATGTCCTCGGGCTCTGCAGCAATTTTTTAATGGCTTGCCAATTGTTAATTCTGCTGACCTTGTCAAGTTCAGTTCTTCGATCATAATTTTTACAACCCACTTGTTGCTTTTCCAGCTACTTCAATAGGTAAGAGTAGCCTAATTGATGTAATTGGCTTTTTTGATTCAATGCACAAGTAGCTTATTATCTATAGGCTCCTTCCAGATTGTATGATTTACTTTCATTTCAGTTTCTGGTTCTCTAAACATTTAATTCTCTGCTAGCTTTCCCAGTCTACATTTTAATACGAATGGATTGTGGATCAAAACTATGTTATTAAACATTCCTTAAGTTGGACGTCCATTCCCCATGTATAGTGTATTCTCTTGAATCTGTTGTGGCCTTCCCTGTTTATCCATATGGTCCTGCCTCTCCTCCTACCATGTTTTTTGTCAACTGAAGATTATCAAGGAGATCATGAATTGACCTCATAACCACTAGGAGTCCCCCTTCGGTGCATCAAAAATGCATACGGTGCTTTTGTGCACAGCATGCACAAAACTCCCATCACATCTAGAACTATACTTTAGTCTTTCCACTTTTGCGTTTATAATGCCCTCCCCTCCTCTTTATAGTTCTACATTTCTTGCAGGAAACGGTGATGAGAAGAGCAAGCAGGACGCTCGGGAAGAAAACAATGAAGAGGAAGAGGAAGAAGAAATGGAGGAAACTTAGCTTTCAGCTATCTCGCACAGTAAGTGGAGGCAGTGGTTTTGTGCCTGAAGAGACTTTTGGTGATGATGTTACCCACTGTTGGGCAGCTCTAGAGAACTGATGGAGGCCGTCTGATGAGATTCTCATTTTGTCATTGCAACATCATTTTTGTTTTTGGATGGTTATATTATTTTTTTGTTTTTTGTAATCGAGATCTTTTGTTTTTTGTTGGAGGGGAGGGTGTTAGATTGAGATCTATGTTTAATACCAAGGAAAGAAAATATTTTACATCAAATCGTATAGCATAATTTTATTTTATCTTTTGCTGGTACTGTTTATAGATAAGGTGCACTGCCATCGTTGTTCAAGATTTAGTTAATGGCATATGGTGGCACCCAGCCCAAATTACGTAAAGTGATGTATACAACAATGGGAAGCAAATTAGACCTCTTATACAATTAGGAATAATGATGCAGTGTATATAAAATTTTTATTATTTTCAAATGAGCTTTACTCTTGATGACTGTGGTTAGGGCTTATTAGCCACGTTGATGAATGTCATTTAATGTTTCATTTCATTATCAAGTACAAATGAAGGTTGACACCCTAAGCTTCTCACTGAAGCATTGAGCATATACATTCATAAACCAACTTAAAAAACAGAGAAAAGCCAAAAACTCGCAGCTGATCCTTGATTGCAATAAACCATTAACAGTTCGTAACGACCCAAATGTCTCAGCTATTTTAAAAGATAAACAACACTTCAGAATACCTCAACTGATAAGGCCCATACTGCAAATAATCTCCTGCATTATTATCCATTCTTCCTCTTTTCAGATGGACGTTTTCAGAATTTCTTCAGGAGTCTCAAGTGTAGCTCCTGCATGCTCTTCACCTAGCTTCACTTCTGCAACAATCGCTCATTATATAGCAGGCTTATAAGTGAGACAGATATCTCAATTAGGAGAAAATACCTAGTATAATTCTTCATACCATTATATGGTGGAAAGTAAGCAGCCAAATTTAGAGACTGGCTAAGAAGTGGACGTAGTTGCCCCATGTAGAAATAGATATAACTCAATGCTTGTAGAATCTCGTCCCAAATACATAATTTTGGTCAATAAGATTGGAAGTACATTTGCTCATTTGAAAAGGTAGCAGCATGGAGCAGCTAAATGAAGGCAGTACAATAACATGACTTAACAACACAGCCATAATCAACATAGTTGAACCTACGTCATTCATGTTTTACAAATGCAAAATACTACACAATCCAAATAAAACACAAAAACTAAACCCAAATGCATATCACCAATTAGATGAGTTTTGATCAGTACGTTCTACTAGAAAAAGTTGACGAGACCTGCTCGTCCAAATGATAATATACATTTGGGTTACAATTTCTGAGTTTCATTTAAATTGTCTAACATTATTACTCGTTACAAATAGCCGTTGGTGTCTGATCCTTGTTTATTGAATACACAAACCAAAATAAATGAATGATCTAGTGGTGCAAGGTGCAGTTGTTCATCAATGTATCTCATCAAAATTAATCGAAGGGCCAGCTGAGACTTCGAAGTTGCAATACTTAAAACTAATCTGGGGAAAAAAAAAGCATTAAACCAACAGACTCCAAGCTCCCACAGCTCCGGCGAGAGGCATTAACTTTTCCCTTTCCATTCTTTGAATCTCAGGAATAGAGGTTTTTGGTTCCTTTCCAGTAGATCACAGTAGTTCATCCTTATAACATATAAGAGCGAGTAGCCAATCGAAGACAACATAACAAACAGATGGTGCGCATTACTACAAATTATCAATTTAAGAATGCAAGGCATAAGTGGACAAGTACACATGGTGAAATTGAAGAAAGAATTTTCAGAGAGTTAATTACCGTAACCGCCACGGGAACTGAGTTTGGCCTGGACGATCATGGTAGAGATGAAGTGAGAGGCCTCTCGAGCCTCCTCAAGTAGTCTCTGCATCTCCGAATCGGCAGTCACGTGACGGTTCTCCTCGAATTTCTTCCTCACTTCGGCCGCAGACTCCTTTAGCATCACCGTATCACCGACGAACGATTTCCGAGTTGCTCTCAACACCGCTCTGTAGGCCCTCAACGCTTCCCCTGCTCCCCTTCCTCCCATCTTTCTCCCTCTCTCTCCCCGTACCAAACGTCAAATTCACAAAATTAGCAAACCCAACTATGCGACGTCGTACAAATTCACAATTTTTGAGGACACATCGGAAGGGCACCTTTTAGGAAAGTCCTCTAAAAAGGCCTGGATAGAAAAACCCAGCAGCGATTTTTGGACTAGACTAGAGTTATTATCAGATTCTCAATTCCATCGAACGGCAAGAAATAATTCAAAAGTTGACTCTCGTAGATCCAATTTAAGAAAAAAACCATTACAATCTATTCCCTCTCTTGAAAATGATTCAAAATTGAATTATCTTTATTCAAAAAGAAAAATGTGGAAAATATTGATATTCTAATTTTTTAGTTTTTATGGATACCATTTTATCCGACGATAAAATAGGCTTTACTATTGTAAGTTCTAGAAGAAACACAAAATCATAACGTGAATATTAGAACATCTAAAGGTGACCATATAATTTAAATAAATGTTTGAGGGCTTGACCTATAGTTCAAGCCACATTTTTTTGTTTTACGGCCTATTCAAACTTATATCGATTATTCTCTTAAATTCAGTAGGTGAATTGAATTAAAACATATCACTTTGAAACAAATGTAACAATTGGATTAGAATACGTCATGGAGAAACAAAAATAGCTACTCTTTAAAGGATATAGAAAGGAATTGAACCAGACCTTCTCGTCAAACTCAACCACTCCAAGCCACATTTGATTATATGTCACCTTGACAGTTGCCTTAAAGGAGTGAGATCCCCTCCAATACAATTTTTCTTCAACTCTCTTCTTAGCACATCATCCACTATGCATTCAAGTGAGATGCAATGTTTACAAGTGAATCTTTCACTCATTAATGATGGATAATGTACTAAAAAGAGAATTGAAAATAAAATATACTCAAGAAGATCTGAATCCGCGTAAAAACTCCATACGACATCAAATCTTCGGTATTCAAAACTAGACAACTATATTTAATTAGATTGCTGTCAAGCATTTAAGATTGAAATGCCCTTTCAGAATAATTTAATCCAAACTAAAAATAATTTAACAAACTCGACACCACGCCCTTGGTGATTTTAACACGAGTGGACTAACATCAAGATTCTATTAGAACTGGAAAAAGGAAACTTTGAAGAGTCACTTGACGATATTGCGACAATAATAAAGCAATACTCGGTCCATTGTTTGTTGGATAGTTTTCACTTTTCGGAAGGGATGAGAGATAGAGATATAGAAACCTGTCATGATGCTATTAACAAGTTCCTGCAGAGTTTTCTTCTAAATAAATTGCAATTCAAGGCATGAGATAGTATTGTTCTTCAAACACAAAAGTCATTAAAAGAAGAAAACTGGGTAACATTTGACTGCTTAAATGGATAGAAACATGAGTCCCTTCGGAAGTATATGTTATCGACACCTGACAGACATCAAACAGGTATTGTATCCAATGTCTTCCTTCATCATCAACCAAACACATTGGAATTATAAGCCCGAAATTGTCTGCTTAAACCAAAACCTCAAGATATAGATGCACTTCCAAAACCTGGCAAGAAAAGGATAGAATGCTGTATGAGAGCAAGGAAACCCAGAAGTTGGCATAGGATAGTGGAGCTGGATATGATACATCACAAAATGGGAGACGCTCTTGCGAAAATATGCATCATGCATTATGATCACATACATATCACGGAGGCAATCCCAGGAACCAGGTAAAGGCTGGAGGATACACATGAGAATAATTCAACATAATGGTATTGCCAATGCGATCAGCTATCTCAATGGATCAACCATTCTCAGATCCTGTTTCTTGCGTCGGCATCTATGATGGGCTTTTTGCAGCGTGTTCTCGCCAACCATATCCATATTAGAAACTGTATCCGGCACACGACAGGCAAAGCAACAACACATCAGCTTGCCTCATTTGAATCAGATGAAGTTAAATGCTTAAATTACCAAATGTCAGCTTCTCATGCTTGCATTAATAAATACTAAACAGCTATTTCAAAGGCAATGATGATAATGCGGGTAAAGTTGATTCGGTTGTCATTCAATCACTACAAACAATCTATACGCAAAAGCCCAACCCAATGCATTGTATAAGGATGATTGAAACAATAACTTAAATAAGGCTAAAACCAAAACTGGCTCCACATGTATCCCTTTGTATTCGCAATTCAATGAGAACTGTATTTCTTTTGTGAAAGATTAAGCAGCTGTTCATTCATTAATCCAACCTGGATTTACATTATTGTAAACAACCTTTAACCTGCTACCCTTCCAACTCTTAGTTTTTAACACTAGATCGACAGTATTCTTACAACGTTCAAGACTAAAAAGAATACCTAAAAATATCTATCTTCAATTTAAACAATGATGAATTTTCCACTGATAAGTTGGAAGAGCACTTAATGTTTACCAATTACCCCCCCCCCCCCCCGGCCCAAAAAAAAAAAAAAAGAATCAATGAATTCTCAAGCCTTGAACAAGACTTGGCAAATTTCTATACAAGGTGATAACATGACATGAAATCAAAATTAACTGTTGATGGTTGATTACTACTTGACACAAACCAGAAAAGGACACGGCCCATCAACACAAATAATAGACGGTTCTAATTATTTTCAAATTCGAATAATCTGATTTTGACACAGGAAACTCATTTAAATGATATAGTACGAAGAAAAATCTTAGCTTTTTTACTATTTTTATTTCAATGTAGTGTTGCATGAGTTCTTGTAGAATTAGATAATGTTTTTACTTCTTGATTTTACTGGCATTTGAACCAATTAATTTTTTTTTATATATGTGGTATATAGATAGAAGATTTGGTTGAATAGGCCTTAGTCCTAGTTTTCGGGTTCACACGTTTTCGTGTCTATTATATAATAACATGATTAACAAACAAGTCATGTTAGTATCAATTCAACTCACATTATTAACTCAATATGTCAGGTTAAGGTTAATTAGTACTGGATATGAACCTGCAATCACACGAACCAAACATGATAAGATTCAACTGACACTTCTACATCTAATTAACAAAATTAGCTAATGTTTCAAGCTCAGCTTTCAAAAAAAGCCATACATATGTCTAAGACTCCCAAGATATTAAAAGCATCAATTACATAAGGGAAAAAAAATCAAAAGCAAAGCTAGATATTGCCTTGTATTCATGAAGATAGTGCCTTGGGTTCTCAGCCTCCTAAATTAATTTATATAGTGCTACTTTTTCTATAACATTTTTTCTAGTAACAGATTTTTCATTCAAATATACTTTCCTTCTGAAACTAAACTAGGTTAATATTCATTTCATTGACAGAAATAATGGTTAGTCTGCATACTCCACTGTAAGTAATGCTACTCATCTCGTGCAGCATTATAGTCTTATCTTATGCCTATACTATTTCTGGTCAGCCACAAGAGTCTTACAATCCCCTCCTCCATCCACATGATACAAGAAGTAACCTGTTCTCGTCTAAATAATAGCAAAGAGATTCTTAAACAATATTTAACCTTGCTAAGGTAGGATTTAAGCCAGTCAGGATGGATCCTATTCCTTTAAGCTATAAAAATTAATATGGTTCCATAGTTTCATACAACAAAGAGCCTATTTAAAGAACTACCAAACAAACAATTGTGTACTATAATTTTGTTAAAATCATACATTATGTGTGAAAATTAACCATCCAAATTGCTCGTGTTAGCTTCAAACTAAGCCAGAGAAGCTGCGTGGCTACCTAGACATGCATGCATCAAGATTGTTCAAATAAACAAAAACCTAACACTTGGGTCATTTAATCATCTAGTAAACTGAGAAAATCCAATCCAAGTATTGACTAAATGCTAAGAGTTTTGGCTTTACCTATCTCGCAGCAAATTTTATGAAACATCAGCACAACCACCGACAACGATTAAAGCCAATGAATCAAATTCAAGCAAACGAAATTCCCAAGCAGAAATTTCACAATGTACCTCCGAATTTCGCACCCCAAAACAACAACCGCTGATCGTCCTCTTCTTCGTCGACCTCATCACCGTAACCGAATTCCGCATCGCCTCGATATCCCGGCTCACTCCCGTACCCCGATTCATTCCCCTGATTATCGAAATTCCCAATCGGCCCTAACCCAGGAATCAAAGTATCTCTCTCGCCACTGCCAACATCTTTCTCCCTTCTGGATGTTCTCTCACTCACATCCGACGCCCAATTGGCGTCCCCATTTGGAAACAACTCCCCACTCGAATCCGTCCCAGCTGCCACCGGAAAATCCGAACATGTGGCATAAGCCGCCGAGGCCCCCACCGAGCAACACCGCCGCCGGGTCCCACTCCGATCACTACTCCGTCCGGAAACCGATCGGGACCCACGGCGCCGACGTTTTCGGGCGATCCACGAAAAACTCCCTCGCTTATGCGCCGCCGACATAGACCTGTCATCGTCGCGTAAGCTCAGCCTAGACATATCAATGGCGTCAATCGGAAACGACGTCGCCCGATTGGATAAGCAACGTCTCTTGCTGTGTACCCCATTACTGGCGGAAGAGTAGAGTTTGGGAGAATTATAGGAATCGGAATCTAGGGTTTTGGGTGAGGTATGGAGCTGAAAGGGTCTCCAGCTGTGTAGCTTGAATGTGCAAGACTCAATAGAGTGCCGAGAATCGAGAGTTCTATGCGACATTTGAATCGTTGCAGGTTTATGGTAACAATGATTTGGGTTTTTTTAGGAGGTCTGATTGTTGAACAAGACGAGGTCATAGAAATTTATTGATTCTTTACGGTGCAGAAAGAGCACGATGAGATATATAGTCGGAGATCAGTTGGACTCCAATTGGAAAAAGGATTAGGTAACTCCAGGAAAAAAAAAAAAAACGTATCATATGGAAATTAATTAAAAACAGTAAATTAGTTTTATGCATTTTGCAGTCACCGATTACAAAATAGAACAGCCACAGCTATGTGGGTTCAAAGATCATCGTTTCTCTAGTAGTGTTCGATAAAAATAAAAATTATAAAAATAAAAGAAATTATTGGTGTTATATTTTTATTGAATAAAAAATAAAAATATAATATTAAAAAATAAATTTATAGTACCCTAGTTGAACCCTACGGATAGACTTCGCCGGTAGATACAACTTTCATATATAAAACAAAAAAATAGTATTATATCAAAAAATAATTTATAATTATAGTATTGTGATTAATTTTATATAATTGGTGACTATGAAAATAATAAAATAAAATAAATTTATATGTCATTTTCTTATTAGTTAAAAATATATTAAGGATAAATGCATCTCATTTAAAATAAATAGAAGAAAAATAAGAGGAAATTCAAATTTATTGTAGACAAAACATAAAATAATAAAATAATAAAAATAGAGAGACTTATTAAAGTGGTATATAAAAATTCTTTCTTTACTGTAATTTTTTATTAAAGATGCAATCTATTTTAGTTAAGATACTCTCTAAAATAAAGAATAATATTGGAGATGCTCTTAGAATAGAAAGTCTATTTGAATTTTCTAAAATAATTTTTTCTATGTTTTCAAATTTTATCAAAGATACTCTCTATTTAAAAAAAAATATTTTAAACTAAAGAGTAATATTATAGATACTCTTTAGTCAGGAAGACCGGGTCAAGCAAGTGGCTAATTCAGATTAAATAGGTGGAGCAAAACTTGCCCACCTAGTTAAGAGGGGAAGTCATGCAGAAGATCCAGGTAAGTGAGAAAACAACAAACAAAAGCATTCTCTAATCCCTATCTTCAACTGACTTTAGGCAACTCCAAGGGTAGTGCCATCAGGGGGTGACAATCCATAATCATCAAAATGCCACTTCAAAATTAAAATTTTTACTTTAAATAGGTGACATCAAGAAATAAAAAATAGTAACAATAGACTTACGAAGACAAATTTACAAACTCTAAAGAGAGCGTAAGAGATTGCAAAGAACTGTTGGTGTTGGCTAACCTGCGGGTCAAACCCCCACAGTAGCCTTTACCTCTGTTTGATATATTTGTGAGGGATCTATCTCTCCATTACCGGGGATATACCTCCCTCCAATAGCATTTCCTCCCCATTATCGGGGATATCCTGGTCTCCACCAAAAAATTTCGACTAACCTGCGGGTCAAACCCCCACAGTAGTTTTTACCTCTGTCCCACATCGGGGAAAGAGTTGTCTCCCCACCCCCATATAAGCCAAAGCACCATATGAGAGCAGTTGTGATACTTGGGTACTACTCTCATATGGTGCTTCGGCTTATATGGGAGTGGGGAGACGACTCTTTTCCCGATGTGGAATAGAGGTAAAGGCTATTGTGGGAGTTTGACTCGCAGGTTAGCCGAAATTCTTTGGTGGAGAGCGAGATATCCCCGGTAATGGGGAGGAAATACTCTTGGAGGGAGGTATATCCCCGGTAATGGGGAGGTAGATCCCTCACATAAAAACGCACACTGTGGTACCTGGGTACTGCTCTCATATGGTGCTTTGGCTTATATGCGACTCTTTCCCCGATGTGGGACAGAGGTAAAGGCTACTGTGGGGGTTTGACCCGCAGGTTAGCCGAAATCATGTGTGACAAAGGTAAAGGCTACTGTGGGGGTTTGACCCGCAGGTTAGCCGAAATCCTTTGGTGGAGAGCAGGATGGGGAGACCCTGGTAAAGGCTACTGTTTTGACCCGCAGGTTAGCCGAAATCCCCGATGTGTGACAAAGGTAAAGGCTACTGTGGGGGTTTGACCCGCAGGTTAGCCGAAATCCTTTGGTGGAGAGCAGGATGGGGAGGTAGATCCCTCACATAAAAGCAGTACCCAAGTAGCACACTGTGGTACTTGGGTATTGCTCTCATATGGTGCTTCGGCTTATATGGGGGTAGGGAGACGACTCTTTCCCCGATGTGGGACAGAGGGACAGAGGTAAAGGCTACTATGGGGTTTGACCCGCAGGTTAGCCGAAATCCTTTGGTGGAGAGCAGAATGGGGAGGTAGATCCCTCACATAAAAGCAGTACCCAAGTAGCACACTGTGGTACTTGGGTATTGCTCTCATATGGTGCTTCGGCTTATATGGGGGTGGGGAGACGACTCTTTCCCCGATGTGGGACAGAGGGACAGAGGTAAAGGCTACTATGGGGGTTTGACCCGCAGGTTAGCCGAAATCCTTTGGTGGAGAGCGGGATATCCCCGGTAATGGGGAGGAAATGCTCTTGAAGGGAGGTATATCCCCAGTAATGGGGAGGTAGATCCCTCACAATATTTAATTCAAAAATTCTGTAAAAATACAAAGAGAAGGAAAAGGGGAAGAAGACTTGCCTGAAAATCTGTTGGTGTCTATTGCTCCCTAAAAACCCATTAGTAAAGGTGTTCAAATTTTCGATTAGTCGTAATTTACTACCCTACCCTATTTTACCCTACTAAATGGCTAATCGTAAAAATCGAATAGAAATACGAAAAAAAATTTGGTCTTTTGATTAAATCGGGTAGGAATGCAGAATACCCATCAATTTTCGCATTCCTATCCTACCCTACTCGTAAAAAATATATTTAAATTTTTTATTCTTTTTTAATAATTATAAGAGTATTTGTGTGGTATAATTTATATTATAACATTGTTATTATTGTGGGTATTTGAGTTGGAAAAATATGGACTTATTTTTTGTATAGGTTATATGATTTGTGGTGAATTGGTTATCTATTGGAGCAATTTTGATTTTAATATGTTTCATATAATTTAAACTTAAAATAATTATTATTGTATTTTTGTAACAATTATGTTAAATTGATGTTCCTTCTTTCTTATGTTTTATTGTAATTGTTGTTTAAGTTATTTTATGTTTTAGTGTTATTGATTTATTGTGTTGTTAAGTTGATGCATGTTATTTAATTGAATTGTTAAAATGATTCAAAAATTAATAGCTACAAAACTGTTCACCCGACTTCCTACCAGATTAATCGGGTAAGAATATCACACCTAATCAGGTAGTGTATGCAAAGAAAAAATTATTCTGTAAAATATCAAGTAGAAAAACTATATTTCCTATCTGTTGGTGTCTACTACTCCCTGAAAATCGCTTAACTGAAAATCACTCCCTAAAAATTGTTGGAAGGAGGGCAGGGGAAAGAGGCGTAGAGGGCGTAAGGGAAGGGGAATAGGCGTTTTATTTAGGGTATGGGTGATTTTATTTATTTCTTTTATTAAGGGTGGTTTTATTTATTTTTTAATTGATTATTTTATCTTATCTTTAAATTGATTTATAATTTTTTTTTTGTAGATGGATTTGCAATTTGATGGTTTTTTCACTGATTTACTTATGAATAACACTGATTTATATAGTGATGCTATACAGACCAATCACATAGTTTTGGCGGCCAGTACAAAATGAAGTAGCTTAAAAAGTGAAAAAATCGTAAAGGACAAATAACTTCTCTCTAGAATAAGATAAATTAGTTGTGTATGGGTGGCTTAATACGAATAAATATGCAATTATTGAGAATGAACAATAATGTGGTGTTTTCTGATATAGAATATTGAAATACTTAGAACTTCATCGAGACAATTAAGAAGAGCGTTTGCAAGCTTCTATTAAAAACTGTTGAACTGATATAAATGTAAAATGCGACAAATTTGTCAATTTTTATAGTCAAATTAAAATACTATGACAAAATGGATATGTAACGCCCCGGTTTTTCGGACCCGTTACTTGATTAAATCAATTAATCACAAATAAATCTTCGAGTATAGGGCCAGATCTCTAATTGTCTCAATAAATTTATAATCATAATTTTGATCTCCAAATACCAATAAAATAATCTCCTCAATATAAAAACGAATTTGTTCAAATTATACATCACCCTAATAAACCTACAAAGTTAAAAATTATATCAAGATTCGTCTGTGTTTGATTCTTCAAATATCAACTCTGGTCCTTCCCTCCGAGATAATCCTGAAAAATATTAAAGGCGGAAAAATATACAATATGACAGGAAACAATATGCTCAACTAGAAAAGAATATGAATGGTCAAATACCAAATAATTTAATCGATAGACAATCATAAAAAAAAGAATCAAGAATCCAATTCGATAAGTCACATAGTTCGATTTCTATCAAACATTACCTCATATTCGGGTCCTCTTGATGACATGATAAGTGACACTTGAGCATTTAAAATTCATACTCATATCAAACCATTACACCCCTCAGGATTATAATCAAAATCACACCTCGCAGGACCATAATCATGTTTTATTGATTATGCCCCAAAGTACACTTCATACATGTATCAATCAATCCTAAAATATTTAGCCCAACGTACACGTACAGGTCAACCGATAACATTGACAGAATTTCATATCAATCAGAATAATCAATAGGAATACAAATTTCAAATAATGAAATGACACTCTTTGTAAATAGATTTAAAAGACATAAGTATATTGTATATTACTCCGTACCTCAAATTCATCAATGACTTCAATAGATGCAAAATTCAAAATACTCTGAATCAAATAGTCAAATTTGATAACAATTTAAAATAAAATTACTACTTAATTTTTGACCTCAAAATCTCATAATTTTTTTTCTTCTATTTCGTTTATCTCTCTCCCTGTCCTTCTTCTCTTTCCTTCTATCTTTTTTTTCCTTCTCTTTGTGCCGATCAAATAACCTGGCTTGGCTATTTATATCAAAATCTTGCTCGGAGACCAAAGCATCTCATGGACACGTGTCCATTTGTTTGACCATCTGTTTTTCTTTTCTTTCCTTGCACGTTTTTCATTTGCATCACTTAACACCTACACATACATACTCATTTATTATATATATATATATATATATATATATATATATATATATATATATATATATATATTATGAAACTTGACCTAAATTATAATCATTTGACTCGTTTTCACCTAAAGAGTCTATATTTGATATCCATTTATTCCTAAAAAAAATAAATCTCAATTATATATAATCATAATTAATGATCTAATTAACGTGTCATTAATTAATTAATATATGGGTCGTCATAATCTACCCCCTTAAAAATAATTTCGTCCCCAAAATTCAATACTAACCTTAAGAGTAAAATAAGTATGAATATATTATACAAATATTCGCTACGCACTCTGATATTTTTTTCTACTCTTTACTATATGACTCAAAACTTTGATATGAATTCCAATTTATGTATTCGTCTAATGGGAATTGGTTGACTTACTTCGCACATTTTAAACTCCTATACCTACAATGAAAGCTGATAGTCTCACTTCTCACATAATCTATATAAAATCTGATACCTAAGCTCTAATACCACTTTGTAACGTTCCGATTTTTTGGACCCGTTACTTGATTAAATCAATTGATCGATAATAATCACAAATAAATCTCCGAATATAGGGCCAAAGCTCTAATTGCCTCAATAAATTTATAATTATAATTTTGATCTCTAAATACCAATAAAATAATCTTCTCAATATAAAAGCGAATTTATTCAAATTATACATCAATCCAATAAACCCACAAAGTTAAAAATTATTTCAAGATTCGTTTGTCTTTGAATATTCAAATATCAACTTTGGTCTTTCCCTCCGAGATAATACTGAAAAAATATTAAAGGCGGAGAAGCATACAATATGACAGGAAACAATATACTCAACTAGAAAAAAATATGAAATGGTTAAATACCAAATAATTCAATCAATAGACAATCATAGATAAAAGAATCAGGAATCCAATTCGATAAATCACATAGTTTAATTTTTATCAAACATGACCTCATATTTGGGTCCTCTTGGTGACATGACAAGTGACATTTGGGCATTTAAAATTTATACTCATATCGAACCATTACACCCCTCAGGATTGTAATCCAAATCGCACCCCGCAGGGCCATAATCACGTTTCACCGATTATGCCCTCAAGTATACTTTGTATATGTATCAATCAATCTCAAAATATTTAGCTCAACGTACACGTACAGGTCAATCAATAACATTAACAGAATTTCATATCAGTCAGAATAATCAATAGGAATACAAATTTCAAATAATGAAATGACACTTTTTGTAAAAACATTTAAAAGACATGAGCATATTGTATATTACTCCGTATCTCAAATCCATCAATGACTTCAATAGATGCGAAATTCGAAATACCCTGAATCAAATAGTCAAATTTGATAACAATCTAAAATAAAATCACTGCTTAATTTTTAATTCCAATATCTCATAATTTTTTTTCTTCCATTCCATCTATCTTTCTCTTTCTCCTTCTTCTCTTCCATTCTCTCTCTTTTTCCTTCTCTTTGTGCCGATCAAATAGCCTAGCTTGGCTATTTATAGCAAAATCTTGTTTGGGACCAGGCATCTTATGGACACTTGTCCATTTGTTTGGCCATTCTTTGTTGTTTTTCTTTCCTCGCAAGTTTTTCATTTGCATCACTTAACACCTACACATATATATTCATTCATTATATATATATACATATTCATTTATTATATATATATATATTTATTCATTATATTATTACGACATTTGACCTAAATTATAATCATTTAACTCGTTTTCACACAAAGAGTCTATATTTGATATCCATTTGTTCTTTAAAAAAATAAATCTCAATTATATATAATCATAATTAATAATTTAATTAGCGTGTTATTGATTAATTAATATACGGGTCGTCACAAAATACACTGAGCAAAATAATATAATTATTAAACTTTTTTAGATAGATACTACTCTGATTTGATAGTTGAACTATTGACTAAATGATTTCATATATTTTTTAGGTTGATAAAACGATAATTTCATACATTACAATAATTTTTTATACTAAAAAAAGTAGTAATAAAAACAATATAATAATGATAAAAATATGCATAAAAATAATAATTTTTTTATTATAAAATAATTCATAAAAATTAGAAAAATATGCATTAAAATATTAAATTTTACAGATGCAACACTTTTTTTGGCACAGTAGTTAAGAAACGGGGGCATACATTATTATAATTGGATCCACCGACTATAGTCCATATCCCTGCGCTAGTCGACCATTATGCTATACCCGCCTCGCTGCCTTACAATATATTCTAGCCCTTACCTACGACTCTCAAAACCCTAATTTTCAAATTTATCTTCAAGCCCCCGGAGGTAAACGTTTCCATCTCAGTTTCAAATCCAAATTATGAGTCAAATTTCTCAAGGAGGTTTCAAATTGGTGTCATAGTGATCTGTGTAAACTATGCTTACATCAATTTGTCAACCCCATCTTGGCGTTTTTTTGTCAATTACGTTTTACTCGCAACGAAAGTTTCAATATTCAGTAATTCAAGAATCATCTTTCAACTTCTTATTTGTTCGGTTGATCTAAGTCTTTAAATCGGTGTTCCGGGGCTTTAGGCTGTTCACTTCAGCTATAATTTCGTTTTTTTTTTTGCTAAAAGAAAATTCATAGCATTGGCTTTGGAGTTTGATTTTGTTCTTTTTTTCGATAGCCCCTCGTGACATCTTTTTTGTCAATTAGGTTTTACTTGCGCGAAAGTTTCAATAATTGGTCATTTAAGAATCATCTGTCGACTTCGTTTTTGTTCAGTTGATCTTTGTCTTTTAATCGGTGTTCAGGGGCTTTAGGTTCATAGCATTGCCTTGGAATTGAATTTTGTTCTATTTTTGGCAGTGCTGATTTTATTTTTATCGGAAACAATGAGCCGTTCAAGCAGAACCCTCTACGTCGGCAATCTTCCTGGAGATGTTCGTGAGAGGGAAGTTGAGGATCTGTTTTACAAGGTAACATCGATTTTCTCGAGTTGAATATGCCTTGGCATGGTAATTTTACGGTATTTATATTTTTGCTCCTAAAACTTTGTAACTTCAAATGCAAAGCAGTGCTTCTTTTATAAGTATTTGAAAACGAACATCTAGAAGTTTTAACGTGAGTCTGGTTCAATTTCATGGGGTTGGGTGACTTGTCCACCTTTGGTCGGTTTTTGTAACACCTCTTTATCTTTATTATAAAATTGTTGTTTCTTATTGGAAAAAAGTTCCAAGATAGGACTTTTCATAACAGTTTGTATAATGGTGATAAATGATTATGTTTTTGTAGTGGTGATTGATGAGTCAAGGTTTGTATAGGTATGATTTTAAGTTTTATAATTGCAGTAATCTTAAGTATACTTGGGAATTGCAGCTGCTGGTCGTTTGAAGGAGATATTACTAGATGCTAGATGATACCTTGTTTAAAAATTAAATTGCTTGACGGTATTGTATTTGACTAATTTTAACATTGCAGTATGGTCCAATTGTACACATTGATCTGAAAATCCCACCAAGACCTCCTGGTTATGCATTTGTTGAGGTGAGTCTGTAATGCTTATGATTCACTTACTATCTTGTCATTCTCGATCTGATGTTGTCCAAATTCTTGTTCACAGTTTGAAGAGTCTCGTGATGCTGAAGATGCTATTCGTGGTCGTGATGGCTATGAGTTTGATGGATACCGTTTACGGGTTGGTCATAGATATCTGGAACACCTGGATGCTTCATTCTTTTTCTTTTTACTATCATGGCTTTACCATCAGTTGTGCTCCCTTGCTTTTTTAGGTGGAGCTTGCACATGGTGGGCGTGGACACTCTTCATCGATAGATCGTTTTAGCAACCATAACAGTGGTAGAGGTCGTGGTGGTGGTGGTGGTGGTGGTGGAGTGTCTAGACGCTCTGAATATCGTGGTTTGTAATATATTTAATTTACCCATATCCTGTCATATTAGTAGGTGTCATTTGATTCATTTACAAATTGATATTAGTCTCTGTGCTTCAGTGTTGGTAACAGGATTGCCCTCTTCTGCTTCATGGCAAGACCTTAAGGTGAGCAAGAGCATAACCACTGGTTACATACTTACGTGTTAGTTCACACACACACACACACATTCAGATTCACTGCCCCATCCATCCATATGCAGTTATGTACATTCTATCTCTATTGTCTTCGATTGGTGTTATGCCTGACATCCGGTATTGTGTATTTGTATCTAGGATCACATGCGTCGAGCAGGAGATGTTTGTTTCTCCCAAGTGTTCCGTGAGGGAAGTGGTAAGATGATGAACAGCATTTATTTTCCTTTTCCTAATTGTAAGCTAGCTTCATGTTTTATATTTCTTTGAGTTTTTTTTTTTGGTGGAGCGGGCACCATGTAGTGTTGACAATAAGCTTGTGAAATGAGTCAGATGCCTTGATATAGTTGCATTGAGTCAGTGTTCCATTACACTTGACTATTTCAAGCTATAAATGTGTACAGAGGCTTGCAGAATTGTGGATTTTGCTAGGCTGAGTGGGTTTAATTGGTCGTATTGGTGAATCGGCACAGGAACTATGCAATTGTTGTTTTCAGGCTTACAATGTTTTCTGCCTCAGGATTATTTTTGAATTTACTTACTGTCAAGGTTTTGAATAGTTTTCTTGTGGGCCTCATTACTATCTTTATGTCAATCATTGCATTTATATATAGTATGTGGCAATGGCTGTTTTTCGATAGATTTATTTTCTTAGCCTTGTTACTAGACATACTTTTTAACCATAGATCCCTGATTCACCTCCCAAGGGGGCACTTACACACTAAACTTTCGGAACCACGAGTTTTGTGCCAATCCGTGGATTTTGGAGGATCTACAAGTTACCAATGGAAGCTTGCCATATCCCCTTTGTCAGCAAGGGTCCCAAAGTCGTATGGTGAACAATGATGTGCTGTAACACACCCTCTTACCCATCGCAAAAAAGTGCTGTAATTGGCAATGCTTGAACCAATGAACTCTTGATGGTAATGAAGAGTTTGAAGGCCAGTAATTTATCTTCTTTTCCATTGTGAAGCAACCTGAGCCATAATTACTTCAGCTTGTAAAATATGAGAAGATCTGTAACATGTTACGAATTATGATATGGTATGTAGAAACTATTTAACCTGATATATGAGATTGAAGAGCAATTGCATTATTATATTGAACATGTCCCAAAATAAAATATACAACAGCCCCGTTTATGACAAACTTCTTTTTTTCAATATTTAGAAACGTGCTAAAAATGCAAATATATACATATACATATGCACCCTATAAATGCAAGCTTTTAACAATATTATGTAAATGTATTTATCTTTTTGTCTATGATGCAGATGCCCTCTGAACCTATGTATTTTCTAAATCAACGCTGCACTTGCACCACGAGATGGATTAGGTTTTTTACTGACGACGTTTTGTTCAATCTTTGGTTGAGACATAGGACTGGCTGGTGGTGATTTATCTGATTGACTTTGGTCGATTTTGGTGTTTGAAGCTAGGTTAGATGTGGGTTTGTACTGTTTTGGCTGTTTTCTTTGCTTGTCTAGTAGACATCCTAGGTTGGATATGCATATGAATGCATTTGTAAACCTGTAGGCATCTGTCTCTGTGTTTGGCTGAATAGATAGGCTTTCATGGACAGTGCTATATTGAACATCTATTTTGTTATCCTTGTCCCTTTTGTATGGGAAGTGAAGATAAAGAAAGTGTTTTATGATGGTACTTGTGTATGATATGGGACCTGGTGAAAGTTTACCTTGATCTCGATTTGGTTCAATTACAAAGTTGCGCTGCTTAGGGTTATATTAATTTACAACAATAGTTTTAAAAATTGTTTTTGTACGTAAACTATATTTCATGGAGATGATTTCTGCGCAAAACCTATATCTTGGGCGTATGGCCCAGTTGCATGGAGGCTGGATGATATTCTTTGGTTATCGTGTCCTCTACCTCGAGTATCAGGTGGATGTTCCACGTCTTGGTGGATTTCAAAGGTTGCCTATGGCATTCCCTTGGCTCACTCTTTCTACGGTGGATGCTGTGTGACAGCAGTGATTCACACTGGTTATGCCACTCTGTGCATGTGAGTTTATGGTTTTGTACTATTGGCTACCACAGTTAAAAACAAATTGTTAGTTAACTGACTGCACTGGAACATATCTGAACTGTCATTTTACTAAAGAATTCAGAACAATTTATCCATCTAGGCTGATGCATGGCAAATCAAATTCTAGAAGCAACCCCCAGATTGCGTGAGACGTCACTATAAATTTTATCCTTTATTTTGAACAATCACTTAAAGAGCAAGCCCCTTTTCATATCGAAGCTTTTAATTGAGCCTACCATTATAGTTATGAATTCTTGAATCTTTAAGCATGTGGTGTACCTATGATATTGACATGATTTATTTGTGCACTGATATTCATCTACAAGATGTAGAGGAATATAACATACCTTGAGAAGTATTGAAGTTGTTCAAATGGTTGAAGTGTTGTTTGGGAATAAATGTTTTCATTCAGAGCTTCATTGTCTAGCGCAGTAGGTTTAAATCTGAAAGTAGTCACTTTGGGCAAATAATCCAAAGATTTAGTTTGTATTTATTCATCCCTCCCAACACTCTCAATTAACATGGACGGTTATTGTCTGTTAAATCCTTTGAGATAGATAGATTGAGTCAAGTCATTCTAGGTGTATAACATTCTGCTAGTAACTAATTTCTGTGCATTAAATAGTTTTTGGTTTTTGATATCCATTCAACCTTTTGTTCTCCAAGCCCATACAGTTCGATAATTGGGAATTCTATTGTTTTCCAGGAACAACTGGAATTGTGGACTATACCAACTATGATGACATGAAGTATGCTGTAAGTTATAGTCAGTGCCAACAGATACGTGCATCATTTGTTTATGCTTGTACTCCTCATATGCTTGTGATAATCATCAGATGCTCTTAGTGATGGTTTTTCCCCTCTTTCTTTATGCAGCTTCGGAAGCTTGATGAGTCTGAGTTTCGCAATGCTTTTTCTCGTGGAGTAGTTCGTGTATGAATGGAATTTTTTAATTTTGGATACCTTTATATTTTTGTTGTAATTTTACTTTTCCAATTTATTTTCTATACTAATGGAGAAATATTCTTTTTGTGTCTTCCAAATGCATGTGATTTACCCTTCTTCATCGACATATAGGTGAAGGAATATGATTCAAGCCGGTCCCGGAGTCAAAGTCGGAGTCGAAGTTATAGTCGGAGCCGGAGCAGAAGCAGGAGGTTAGATCATTTTCTACGGGAATATAGATCTTGGCTTGCTATTCTGGTGGGTTTTTTTTATATTTTGTTTTGTTTTTTGTTTCTTAAAGGTTTGAATTATCATGCAGCAAATCTCCAAAAGCAAAATCTTCTCGTCGATCAAGATCTCGTTCAAGGTCCATCTCTTCTCGTTCGCGCTCTGGATCAAAACCGCGCCCTCTTTCAAGGTATACCTTCTGATCTTTGTTGTTTTCTCTGTTTTGGTTTGTCTTGGTATATGAGTTGGTTGGTGGGTTCCTCTGTTCTATTGAAGATTGATGTGGAAGTATTCACATTGTCGTAGAATCCACATTTGGTGCTGTCTTTGACTTGATACCTCTCCATATTTAAATATTGTCCTGATGTGCTTATTATTGCTATTTTAAATATACCCTCTAACTGCAGTTTGGTTTTTATTTCATTTGCTAGTACTGTAAGACTAGCTGTTGTTGTACACTTGTACTTTGTAAAGCTGGGTTTTGGAATGTCATATTCACCTGTTTCTTTCCTCTTGTTGCTTAAGCCAGTTTCACATCATAATGTATTTATATATGGATGGATTGTGAAAATCTGGATTTGTGTCTTGTCATCCTGATTGATTTCATGGTATTATATTCATGTGGCTGATATTGTCTCATGGAGATTTTTCTGTTATCTTGAAACCCAAGTTACCTTTGTGCATTTGCCTTTTTTGCTTGAGGTGGTTTTAACTTTGGGGAACACTATTTGCATTCCCCTTTGCACTTGCAGCACTCCAGCTGCTTTGTGTAATTTTCATTGGAATTGAAGTGTTGCAGTTATAAAGGGGACTGCAAATGGCATGTTCTTTAACTGTTCATACGGGAGACTGATGTTTCTTATATTTTTAGTAGATTTTTTGTAATTTGGTATTAAATATATGATATTAACTTGGAAATTAAAACATTCTCACTTGATCAGTGAAATTCTCCGTCGTCGTTCTCCATCTTTTCAGGAGGGCTTAATTTTTCTTTGATAACTTGGTCTGCTTTCTGCTGAACTGATAAGAACTGGGTAAAAAGTATAGCAGATATACTTTTCCTAACACTTTCTTTGGGTACATTATTTTTTTATGTTGCAATCTTGTGGTCATACTGGTGGAGTAAGTTTTATATTTCTGTGTTGTGTAATGTTTGTGTGATATTCTTGACTTTTGCTAGAAATTGTAGTATTATCTGGGTCAGACTAAAAGCGAACGGACATCCTTGCACACTTTTGAATGGTAAATTCAACAAGTGTTTGTTATGTGTGTTATGTTGCAAATGTTTTGGTTTACATGGTTTGTCTCTGTGACAGATGTGGTTATCAAAAAATGTGTCCTATAATCAAAACTATAATGGTTTGTCTGTCTGGCAGAGTTGGTATTGAGAAACCTGCCAGATTGTCTTAGTGTCATAATTTTAATTGTTTCTTTCTTAAATACAAAATTACCGTGTTTGTTTTTTAGATATGGATATATGCGGCGAACTGGGGTTGCATATTAGGATCTTGATGGGATATGGTTCAAATGCTTACAACTCTTTTGGTTGTGGAGGTATGATGTTCTTTAGATGACAGCTTTGGAATCCTCCGTGGTTTCTCTGTTCTAATAGACATCGCAAATGTCCATGGGCGCTAGAATGAGAACAAAGAAGATCATGGACTGTGATGGTAAAGCTGGACTGTGAACTAAGTGCAATTGGGAAGGAATACCTCTTTGCGGTAGAATAATTTAACTGTGTCATTACTTTCCTATGCTGCCAACCTAGTAAAGCATGCTCATTTTGAATATGTTTTTCTAATTAAGGTTTCCAGATTAAGTTTTTTTAGGTCATTAATTAAGAGGAAAATTTAATGGTCAGTCTTCTACTTGAGCTGCTAAATTATTGTGGTTTTCCTTTTGTCCGTTTCGATTGTGGTATCTCTGACGTGGAAGAGGCATCAAGGCTCTTGGATCGAAGTTGTTAAGAGGAACGTGTGGATTTTAAATTTGGTTATTTCTGGAACTTTTGCAGATCTCCATCAAGATCCAGATCTCCGGTACCCTCTGTAAGTGAATTCTCACATTTGTTTGCTCAAGAAAAAGGTTTATTTCATTTGTTTGAGCAAAATCCACCAACCTGGTGAAAACTGGTTCTCGCACTGTAACCTGGGGTAGTTGAATTGGGTGAAACTCTCAATAGTCTCTCTCAACTAGCGATTGTTTCTTAAATGGTTTGCCTATCGAACAGGCTTAGCATTCTTTATACCCAAAGGCTCTATGAATAGTTACTTTGGATTTAAGTAAGCTTGCCTTCTACCTTTTAATTTGGTTATCTTCAGCGTCAGAAACGAGTTAGCAAAAGCCCAAAAAGGCACGGTCTGAGTAGGAGCAAGAGCCGGAGCCCAAGCAGGAGCAAGAGCAAGAGTGTATCCGGGTACTACTCTACACCATCATTCTCATTCTTCTTTTTGGGCACTGTATTTTTTTGTTGATTACCATAATCTGCATTTATAATTTTCTATTTTATCTGGTATGATTTCTAATTGCAAGTTTTTTTAACAGGTGAACTATTGATCTGTTGATCCACATGGCATGATAAGTTATTTTTCTCTCTTGTGGGTTAGCAAAGGCTTGATACTGTCGCCTTAACTACATTGGTGGATTTGTGGGTTTGAAATTGTCGAACTGTGCAATATTTTTAATTCATCTTTAAAGATGCTTGTTGAACTAGAAGCTAGTGTCTGCAAAACTTACACAATTATGACTCATGTTCTCTGGAAGATTTCCAAAAGGACCCCTTTTTAAGTTGTTGGCGTTGATTTTAATTTATGGGAGCTGTTCTAGCCTGGACTTTTTTAGTGTTGGGCTCTTTTTATAAATAGTTTTATCTTCAATTTCCTTCTCGGTTGATATCCTTTGTACTGTCAATCTCATATCTGACTGGTATTTCTGTTGCTGTATTTCATATTAGGTTTTTCTATTGTAGGGTGTCTGTCTTACCTAATATCTAGCCTTCTTTTTCGGTGGACGATTTTATTTTTTAAGGGATTTTGAAAAGGAATTATTTTTATTTTTTGGTATAATCTTCTGGTAGATCTATTGCTATGTAGCTCATTCATCCTTGGGCGGCAGTCTCGGGACGTTTAGCTATGGTTGTCATTATTCTTCGTGTTGGGTGAAGTGAATTTTTTGTCGGATTTGTGTTAAAAATTAATTTACTCATGTTTAATTAGTTTATTAATACATGTCTAAGAGGTCGTATTATATTGGATTTGTATTATGTATTAATTGTGTATTATTGATATATAAATGAATTGTTTTATATATATTTTTTTAATTGGTTTTATTAATATGTGATTTGTTTATTAATTATGTTGTGTTGAGTTTTTAAAGAAAGAAAATTTTTTTATCGTCTTCTTCTGTCATATTTTAACACTCTTTGTTGTCATTACTTTTGGGTTTTATGGTTGCCCTGTACTAGTATGTATTTTCATAATTTTGTATACTTTTGTGGTGGTGTGAAAGTAAACAATTATGTTGCTATAGCACAAGTGATGGAAAACCTTCTGAAAAATCCTATATCAAATAGGTGAGAGAAAAGGCAGTTGGATATAAGGTCAAGGGTTAATTACAATTTTTCCAAGTTTTACTTAGAAATAAAATTCCAACTTTTGAAAGTTCCACTTAGGGGGGACGCCTAATCCTTGGGAGGTTTTGTGAGTACCTTCGCTTCTTTTTGTGTTTTTGGGTATTGATGTGGCTGGATCCCCATTTTTGAAAAAATAAATATTACAATGGTAGTATAATATCAATAATAATAATGTGATGAAAAAAAATAGATCGTACACAAATTAATAATTATTTGTCCATATAAGTTAATAATTGTCTATTTTTTTTATTATATAAGTCAATAATTATTAAAATAAAAATTATTTTATTTATTTAAAAATTTATTATTGACTAGTGTTATCATATCATTAATATTAACATATAATCAGTGTTGAATTGAATTGAATATTTTCGCCCTCTTTTCCACTCCCCTCTTCTTTTGTGTGTGTGAGAGAGAGATTAGACAATTATGTGGGCATCCACCACTTCCTAAAACAGGGCTGCTAAAGTCTCTGTCCTTATCTTTATGGGAGGGACAAGGAGATAAGAGGCACATGGATTGGCAAAATAAACGGTGATAAAGAAGGGGCATGAAGTTGGGTTGTACTATTGTGCTTAGAGATTCTGATTTTGTGGCCATCGTTTCGTTTAGACTTTAGAGGAGTAACCCATGAGATATGGTGGGGTACAAACCCCAAGGTCACTCGTCGAACAAGAGCCACAAATTCTATACCCTAAAAAACAGCAAGTGGTCTGCATTGCCTTTTTCCACTACTGGAATGAAATCCAAGCGTGAACTTTACCTCACTTTTATCCTCTTTTATTAATCATTCAATTTTTTAAGTTATCATTTTGACTCAATCAAAACTTTAAGTCTAAATTACTTAATTGCACCTGAGAGGTTGTATTAGTACCTAGTGTGTGTGTGTGTGTCACTTTGATCACTATAAATTTCAAAACTTTAAAGTGACGCAAGTTAAAATTTTCATGTATTTAAACTTTGTTTTAAAAAAAACTTCCTTCGATTTTTTTTATGGCAGAATATTCATCATTAATAAGTGAAAAATTCACTAATCCCTTGTTTGGTATGAAAGAAAACAGATAGAAAGGAAAATATAGGATGAAAAATAAGAGAGGAAAGCAGATTTCCTTTGTTTGGTAGAAAATAAAAATTGGGAGGGATGGAAAAGGGGGTGAAAAATGAATCCTCTCTGCCTTATTTTTATATTTCCGTTGGTAGAAAGGATGGAAAGTAGAAGGGATAAACTTTCTATCTTTCGAAAAAAGAAAATAAGAATGATACATTTTTCTTTCTTTGTATTTGGTAGGATGAATGGAACATAATAATAATAATAATAATTATTATTATTATTATTTTTATGTGTTGCTAAGATTATGAGTGATAATCGAGTCGTATCGTATCAGGTTCGTGTCGAGTCATTGCGGGTTCGTATTGAACATTAGTCAAACATAATTCAACTCATTTAACTAATCGTGTCATGTTGAGTTGACCTGTTTATTTTCATGTCGCGTTTGTATTTGTGTTGACTCACAAAATTTTAAATAAAAAATTTAACGCTAATATTTTATTTTCACGTAATTGAATCTATGTTCATACTTTTTTTACAAACTAAAAATTAACTTAAACAAATATAATAATAATAATAATAATAGATAAAAATATATTTTTTATATAATAATTATGATAGTGGTTAATAAATAGTTACAAATAATTAATATTTTATGTCTATAATACTAGTTAAACATTTTAATTTCGTATTATCACATAAATGAGAAAAATAGAAGAAATGTTTATTTTTGAATAAACGAATTGATTGTGTCAATTTTGAGTTTGAAGGGTTGAACTGAATATGAACTGTTTATATTTTGTATTCGTGTATCAGGTGATTTTTGAATTCGTGTCGAGTTATAATCAAATTCGTATTGAATTCGAATTGTATCATCATGTTGAGTCAAAAAATTCCACCCCTAGTTAACATGAATAATATTTTTTTATTTTAATTTTTTAAATTTTTTTAAAAAAATAAAAATACATATTTTATCATTGTATTTATATATAAAATTAATATATACATAATATATGTATATATCAAAAGATATATAGACAAATAAAATACATTTCAACACAAATAATTAACTTTTCATTCATTTTCCTTTCGATTTTGAATGGATAGATTTTGGTGAGTTGGAAAGAAATCTCATCTATCCACTTTTCATTCTTTATATTTTTTTTCTTTACTAAATATAATATTTTATTTATTTCTCAAATTTTCTATCATTTTAATTTTTCATCTTCTCACTTTTTTATCATATTAAACGAAACATTAATTTACTTATTTACCCCTCTATAAATGTTCAATACTTCAATGAGGTCCACACAAATGTCTACAAACTGTGGCATCCCGCCCTTCTGCCATTCCACAAGAGTCCACACAAATTTGAAATATTATAAACTATTTAATAAAATATTATTTTTGTATATTAGGGCATTATGATATTTTCACACATAATCCATTCTCTTTCGATCCCTTTCTCATTCCAAACAAAACCATGGAAAATCAATATTCTATTTTTTTCATCCATCTGCTAAACTAAAAAGAAAAGAACAAACTTTCTTTCTTTGCAAGAAAAAAATCTATCTTTTCTTTTCTTTTCGTTCTTCCTACTAAATATATCATTATTAAATATAAGAAAAATATATATATTTTATTCTTTAAAAAATGGTAAAAAATCTCAATTTATCCCCGAATAATTAATTTTTTCACATTATTCTTTCAAGAAAAATAAAAATGTCATAATGTGATTCAAATTTTTTTTATTATAATATTTTTAGATCATATTTTAACATTTTTATTCTTTAGGGAATAAAATGGGATTTTCCCAAGATATAATAATGAATTTTAGTTGAATGATAAGGGATGTATTTATTATTTAGCACCAGAGTCCCACCACCCGCCTCCTCTATAACTCCCTCAACCAACCACCTCAGTCCCCCACAATCTCTCTCTCTCTCTCTCTCTCTCTCTCTCTCTCGTTTTTAGTTTACTATTCTCATAAGTTCCGTCGACAAATCGTTAATAAAAATCCCAACGCCTATATCACAATTTCCGTTCGGAAAACCAGCAGAAAAACCTCTGAATTCTATCCATCTCACGTAAATCCTCTTTCAAAGATCCAGAAACCCTACAAATACCTTGAAGAGAACGATAAAAAGTTAGTTTGCACCACCCACCTCACAAACTCATCAGAAAAAAAAAAGGCAAAAAAACCCACAAAGATCAAAGGTTCACCTCATTTTCTTCTTGACAGAAGCACCATTTCTCTGTTTCTCCGCTTCACGAACGATGTCCGAATGTGTGTTTTCAAAGCTCTCTGATGACGTTGTTCTGAAAATACTCTTCAAGCTGGAGGACGATCCTCGAAACTGGGCTCGACTCTCGTGCGTTTCCACCAAAATCTCATCTCTGATTCGCGACATTTGCTGGAAAATCAAATGCTTGCAGACCATACCCTCTGTCGTTTCCAATCTCTTCTCCACCACCGCAGCACCGTCCGGTAGCTGGGCCGCCCTCCACAAGCTCGCCGTCTGCTGCCCTGGACTTTCCCACGCTGGTGTCCTACTTGAAAACTCTGATTTCGGACTGGAACGCGAGCTCGGCCCTGATGACAGTTATCAAGAAAATAAATTATTTCAATCGGGTCCGTCCCAAACAATGCCTCCTTCGAGCAACGGTGATGGTAATTCCGAGTCAATAGCTTGTGTGTCAGATTGTGGTTGGTCTCTGTTCGATGATCTTTATCACGATACCCTTTACAATCCTTCTGAATCATCTCAAGATTGGCCCGAAATAATCGAAGAGCCGGAAAAGGGTGTTGTGAAACCGGCTTCAGCTTGTGATTTTGCTGTTTCTAAGAGAAGAAAGATTTGTAGATCACTGGGGTCTCATTTGGCATCTGGGGTTTGGAGTTTAAACCGTGAACAGGGCAATAAGTTGCTCGGGAGTCGGTTTAAAGGGGATTGTTTGTACATTTGTGATTGGCCTGGTTGTGTTCACGTTGAGGAGAAGCGAAATTATATGCTTTTCAGGGGGGTTTTCAAGAATTTCAAGCAGTCCAGGGTTTGGAGGACGATAAATGATAACGATGGGAATCGGAGAAGGATTGATCTGAGTTGTGCTTTTTGCTCTTGTAAACAGACTTGGGATTTGCATTCTGCGTTTTGCTTGAGGCGGTATTTCGGGTTCCATGAGGATGGTGAGCCACACGTTCGAGCTTATGTTTGTGAAAATGGGCATGTTTCTGGAGCCTGGACAGATTGGCCTTTGTACACTTGAAATTGGCTGTCTCTTCGTCTTCCATGGGTGCGTCTCTGTTTTGGTGGGTAGATGCTGATTGTTGCAAGGAAGTATCAATAGATAGCAGCAGTGTGTTTGCCTTTCTGCTTATTTATGGGCTTACTACTACTAATGTTATGACGAAATGCTATCGAGTCTAGGAGGACGACACAGACCCACTAACGATCTACTAAAGGGCAATCGGGCAACTTCTAGTCTTGAATCCCTTCAAATATTATCGCAACTTTACATTTTATATAAAAAACCTAAAATGGAATGAAATACAAGAGCACGAGTTATGTATCTTCCGGGGGTAGCTTGGCATCGGTTCAAACCCAATTCGTGAGATGACAGAAGAAGTTTAACTAGAATGAGCCAACGCTCTAGTAACCCTTTTCGAGTTCGATTATTGTACTTTGACATATATATTTGGCAGCCCCTTGTAGGATGCAGCAGCTTCAGATTTCTGGGCAGTCTTTCATGACTTGTTATTTTATCAAATTGGCTTATTTATGGATTTAGCACTTCTAATGGTATTGTTTGATTTATGATCTGTTATTCTGGTAAATTGGCCAAAAACAGTGTGTTGTTTGATATTGCCTTCATGCCAATTGGTCTGCACATAGTTGCTATTCTTCTTTCATGTGATCTTCCAATCGCCTATATATTTCCACAGCTTGAAGTTAGGACAGGATAAATAAATTGGTTGGAAAGTTAATGTTTCCTTCATCTTTTGGAAAACTGATGAGAGATTAGCTTTAAATCTGATATCGGAAGTAGAATGTCAATGGGTTGGTGGAAGAAGCTCAGTTACACCAACGTACACCGATACAATACAAGAGCACTTGGCATCTAGCTCACGAAAGATTGATCATACTTCACACAGTTTTTGTTTTGAAGCATATACAACAGAGTCCACATTCTCCCATCTCAATCCCTGTTTATCTCAGTTCCCAAATTAGGCAAAAGGCAGGAGGAGGAGAACCATTCTGTAGTGTCCATCCACACATTTCCTGAAGTTTGCTGAAACAGAGTAGGTATAGCAACGACCAATGAATAATTACCTTACCAAGTCAAAGGTATGATCACATTCCGGATTTTTCCTCCATTGACAACGAATCATGCTAATATATGTACTTATATATTATGCACATTCACGTTTCTCAGTGATATGGGCTAAAAGAATCAAAATGCTCAACTTCCATTGCCGATCCATAGTCGCCTCCTATTTAATGCTTCATAAATATGCAATTAAGTTCTTAACCGTTTCATACAACCAACCCTTCTTCATCTAATCCAGGAACTACTACATCTGCCCTTCTCACATGATCATAATTTTCTCCAACCTGTGCTCCAGCTTTTGCAAACAATTCCACCACAGCAGGCAATTTTCCATAGTATCGTTTCAATCTATCAACAAGTAGGCCATCACCCAGCCGATCTTGTACATGCCACACATGCACTGGAGGAACCAAATCATCAATTGTGGCCTCCTGCCAAGCATGTTGTCCATCCCTCATCTGGTGCTTGAATGCTTGGCATTGCCTCACTCTTTGGCCCTTAGGCCCCACTTGCACCTCAGAACAATACGCACATGTTTGGACAGCATAACTCTCCATGACTTTTGTGGCTCCTGACCGCATCTTCTCCCATGCTTCCATACCTCGCACAGCAAAACCTGAAAATATGCTAGTACTTAAGAATGCATTCATTGTAAACTTCACAAAATGATAATTTTGTACAACAACGAAAAACAAATCGATGTTTTCTTTGCAAATAGTGACAATAAGGAGTAAGTTATTACGTACACCTCATGACCAGAAAGTGGTCTAAACCCTATACAATTTTATGGCAGCCCAAGGGTGCAAAAACCATTTCTCAGAGTTCAACAAGTTGCATCATGGAGGAGGAAGTTCTCTTCGGGAATAGATGAACGTAAAGAAAACAGACCTTGTATATTATCATATTGCAAATTCAACGACTTCTTATCTTCACAGGGCTTTTTTCTACTCTCCCAAAATCCATACGTGTTGATGTACTTGGCAGATGAATCATCCTTGGGAAATCTTTTCTCAAAATCTATCATCCTCCCGGCAACACGGTATAAAGGGAACTCTCTTCTTCTCGTTGGGTGCTCGAGGATGTCCACCCCTGCTTGAATACACAACTCTACAATCGCTGGAATCCGATCAACTTGAAGCCGTTCGTTATGTGAAACAGCTCTCCCCAACCTGTCATACAGATGAAAGGATTCCACAACGGGCAAAACTTGATCAATGCCACCCTTTTCCCAAGTATGCTCTTTGTTTGTTTTGCTTCCACTGACATTACATGTCCTGATCTTATGTGGTGGATAACCCACATGAACTTCCCCACACAAGCTGCACAAAAGAGTGACACCATTACAAAAGGCTTAAAAATTTAAGCAAGACAAATCAACAACGAAAAAAGAATGCCCGTCCCAGTTATTATATTATTTGCAGCTTGAAAAGAAAAAAAAAATCCAGCTTTTCATATAAAAATAAGTGACAATGATTATTACCTGCATGAATAAATTGGAGTGCTGTTGACAACTTCTGACACACAAGCCAACAATTCGGTTCTAGCAGCTAAAACCTCATGCGCAACTGGGACTAATTTTTTAACCAATAATCCATTTTCGGGAGGACTTAACGTGACCTCTCTGACGACATTTCTCTCTTGTTTTTCTAATCTAGCTCTACGCTTAAGTTCGTTAACACTCGTCACCCATGGCTTCCGCTCAGACTGCTTAAGCTTCCTTGGCAGCTCTGTGTAACTCGACCCAGTGGAGAACAAAGCACCGAAATGGTTTAACTTATTTAAGCCAATAAAGTTGGTATCGTAAATTCCTATAATCAAGTCATGGAGATTCAAGATGGCTCGAGCACGTCTTCGAAGCATTTCTGCAATCACTGAATGAGAAATTCAAAAATAAATGCAAAACACTTATCTTAGGCATTTTAGCAAACGACTTGAATGCGAAAAAGCCTAGTATATAATTGAAGCTTTCATTGGTTTTGGCAACAAAATGACATTGAGCAACACTGACCTTTACCCGTGCTTCTCGTCTCGAGGCTCCACTCTCCCCCTGAATAAGGAAGGTCCTCTTAGCTTCGCCAGACAACTCTGTAACTGTGTTAAGTCAAGCCCTTCCGGTCCGATTAAAGTCAGTTATAACCTAATCTTACGGGTTATTAAAATATGACAATTCATTCCTATCAGTAACGCCTTCAATTGTATTGTATTGTATATATTTCTCCTTTCTTGGTTTATGGAAAGACAATCTTCGAACACTCAAAGAAATCAATTGGCAAATAACCTCCCCCGAGGCAATCCCTTACCTCGCAGTCGGCCAAAAAACACGGCCTGTGGGCTACACAATGTATCCAAAGCCTGTTGTTTTGTGGGCTAGTTCATCACGTTGTGGGCCACACACGATTCTTGATAGCCCAACGTGAGAGATAATTTGCCATGGTTTTGGCTCGTTAAGTCGAATGGGCTGACGTGATTAAGATTAGGTCCACTGACCCACCAAAATTCAATAAATATGTCACATTTGGACAAAAAGAATGACCACAATAATTCCATTAGGACTGCCGGATAGGCAAACCGCTTCAATAAAAAAAAAAAAAAAAAAAAGAAATTTAGGGATCGATCTTATTTTGTAGACTTATTTGGACATAAGAAGATGGCAGTTATGAGCGTAAATCAAGGGTTATATTTGCGTTTTCCGTTGATCTCAATGTTTCCTAGTTAGGAAACAATCCTATTGTTAAAATATTATATTAAAAAAAGCTTAACGATTAGTGTATTTTAGAGTTTTAAAAAATTATGGACTTAACTACTTATTAGTAAGATTAAAATAAAATTTATTTTCAAATAAGTTTAAGTGAAAGACTAAACTCATAAAAAGGACTAAGCCCTAATTTTCACTATAAAAAAAATAAGTAAACCATTAAATGCACATTAAGACCAATTTAGTCAGTTAAATGAGCCTTCAAGTTTGTAGATTACTCCAGGCTTAAGAGTCTATTCCAGATCGACAAAGCCTTTTCACTTGAGCCCGTAAGCTCTATGGATCAAATTTTCTCACCGGTTCTTCTTCCCCTCCCCTATAATCGTTGTGATTTAAAAAAAAATCCCCCCCCCCCCCCCCCACAAAAAGCCTGTATGAGAATACTTTCATAAATAAATATCTATCAAACTTACAAATTTAAAACCCACAGCCTATCCCATCTAAGTAATATGATTGGTCGTGTGAACCTTTGTTTCCTAGCTCGTAAACTACTGATGGAGAAGGGTAGATAGGTAAAGAAATACGCTTTCTATAAAAATTAATCAAAACCAATAAAAATGCCCAGGGTAAGGCTTAGGTTGGTAAGAGAATCATCTAGAAAAAAAAAAGAGAAAATACCTTAAAATCGCATTCAAATTTCATAACAACATAAGCATAGCACCTTAAATTAGTATCGTCACGAATAAAAATCTCATCGAACGCTCAAAATAAGCATTGTAGCGAACAAGGATCCCATCGAACGTTAAATAAGCATTGCAGCGAACCCTTATGTCATCGAACGTAACTCTAAGGATGACATCGAATGCACAAAAGGTCTGAATCCATATAAGTTGATATGTGAGAAAAAATGAGAAAAGAAATTGAAATGAAAATCAATAAATGTTTACATATATCCTTAAAATGTTGAAAGTAACTCTGTTTAGAGACCACGAAATGCTTAAAAATAACGAGGTCGCTCAGAATCAAGAGGTTATCCGACGTGAAAATAGATGAACTGTTGAGAGATTCAATTGCAATCCTACGAAACGCTTCACCAATCAAAGGATGAATGCAATGTGCTTACAAAAAGGACAGAGAGCGTTCCTGGCAAGTATGCTTCAAAAGCAGTAATTAGTCAAGAACCTTGACTTACCCCATCGAGGGTTCGGAGTCAAACCAATGAAAATTGTGAATGAACTAATTGGTTTAAGTAGTTTTTTTTGATATCATAGATGCGGGACAGAGAAAGCTAAAAATAGGGGCGTTTAAATTTTTGATTGATCGTAATTTTCTACCCTATCTGACCTTAATCTACCCTACTAACCAGTTAGCCGTAAAAATAGGGTATGAATGCGGAAGAATTTTTGGTCTTCTGATTAAATTGGGTAAGAATGCAGAATACTCATCAATTTTCAGGTTTCTACCATACACTACCCTTAAAAAATATATTTAATTTTTTGTATTTTTTTAGTAATTATAAGAGTATTTTTGTGGTATAATTTATATTATAATATCGTTATTGTTGTGAATGTTTGAGTTGTAAAAATATGGACTTATTTTTTGTGTAGGTTACATGATTTGTGGGGAACTAGTGATTTATTGGAGCAGTTATGATTTGAATGTATTTCTAATGGTTTAAACTTAAAATAATTGTTATTGTATTTATGTAACAATTATGATGGATTGATGTTCATATTTTTCTTATATTTTATTGTAATTGTTGTTGTAGTTGTTTTAGGTTTTAGTGTTATTGATTTATTGTATTGTTAAATTGGTGTATGTTATTTAATTGAATTGTTAAAATGATCTAAAAATTAATAATTACAAAAGTGTTTATCCGACTTCCTACCTGATTAATAGGGTAGGAAGTCGGATAGGAATACCTCACCCGATCGGATAAGGTAAGTCAAGAAAAAATTCTTCCACAAATTATCGGGTAGAAAAACAAAAAGACTATATTGCTTTACCCATAGCGTAGGATAAATAACCCTAACTAAAAACAGCTGATAAGCCCCCTGAAAAAAGACTCAAAGGAATAGAGAAACAGAGTACGAAAGAAGGGACCTTCAATTGTGGACTACTCTGTGTTCAAAAAAATTGTGGACTACTCCTTGATTAGGACAGCCGGTTGACAGCTGAACGAGCTCAATTGGAAAAAAGTGAGAACAAAATGCAAATCGGCATCAACTTCAAGGTTTAAAAGTATAATTAATCTCAAAGCACCGAAATGCTTTTAACTTATTTAAACCAATCAGTGCCGGCCCAACCTTTAGGCCACTGCCTAGGCCCCAAATTGGAAGAAAAATTTGGGGCCCAAAAAAAAATAAATAATAATTATTTTAGAATATAATTTAAATACTTAATATATTTTAAATATTGAATTAATAGTTAATGTTAAGTTTAAACAAAAATTACTATTTATCTAATGTACTTAATTCTCAAATTAAGTGCAACTAACATTATTGTAAAATTTTTAGAACCTCTTTTAAAAAAATTTAAGGTGCTAAAGTTCAGCTTATTTTTTTATATCACCTGAGATTTATATTATATGTATTATCACTTTGCAGTCTTCTTATTAAAATCAATTGTTTATCGTATAATAGGTACGAATAATAATTTTATATTTATATAAGTTAAATTTAAAGTCATTTTTTAATAATTTTGGTTACGATACACAAGATGACTATAAAATAGAGTGAGTAGAAATAATACACTAGCTATCTTAGATTGATTAACCATAGTTGTCTTACTAAAATTTTTTATTTAAAAATTACTCTTTTTCTCTATGATATCTAACAATATCTCATTTATTTTAGAACTACTCAACTGGTATAAATTCTTATTTTATATACATTTATAAAAAAAATTATTTTACTAGTCAACCTAATTTTCAATTATGTTTCCCTTTTATCTTAAACAAATAGTATGTATTATTGTATTTGACTTCGATTAACACAATTTTTATTTATAAAATTTGAATTAGTATGTTATATCTCAAAAGACAAAACAAATAATTTGTAAATAAACATATGTTAATAAGTTTTTAATATTATTATTATTAGTGAATAAATATTTCGTACAATATTTTTGTCTAGGCCCCAAATTAACTTGGGCCGCACCTGAAACCAATAAAGTTCGTCTTGTAAGTCCGTATAATCATGTAAAGGAGGTTCAAGATGGCTCGAGCGTGTCTGCGAAACATTTCTGCAACCAACAAATGGAAAGTTCGAAAACAAACGAAAAACACTATCTGTCAAGCATTTTAGCAAAAAACTATGGCTCAGGCACGTTTACGAAAATGTATCCATCCTGTATGTAAAACACTATCCGTTGGGCTGGGCCTTTTAGCAAACAACTTGCATGCAATTGAATTATAACGTGCTTAATATTTTCAACGTTGATCACTCTAAAACAGTGTGCCATCAAGAAAAAGAATGATGCTCTCTGAGTGTTGGACAATTTATGGTGGGCAAGCAAGCAGGCGTCGCATCGCACCACCAACGGTGTCTGTTAAGCCTTCAGATATCATATTGATATCTTTTTTGCCTCACAATGATGATTATATTAGTTCGACGCAATTATTTCAGCTAGTGCTTTGCGATTAAAACCGCCCACCACTACCAGGCTTGGTTCTATTTTAAAGTCAAATACGAACGGGACATGAATGCTATCATGGCATAATTTAAGAATATATTATATAATATAATAAAGAGTAGTACTATATATTTTAAATTTGTATCCCAAATTAAAGAGGACCATTGGATTAATAGGTTCCATTAATTTTTTTAAATGGGACTCACTGATCCAATGATCTTCTTTAATTTGGGTTATAAATTTAGAATACATATCATTACTCATATAATAAATTATGATTAATAAATAATAATAAAATGCATTTAATATGACTCATGCATTTCATGGCTTCATTATTCATGCACCTTTGCGGCCACCAATGAGCCTTTTAAGTACCACTTGGATTTGAGTTGATCTTGGCTCTTTTTGTTACAAAATAAATTAATTATTATTAAATTTTAGACTCATTTAATATTTAAACTAACTTATACATATAACTTTTAATTTATAATTTTTGTGTTAATTAAGTTTTTGAACTTTTATTGTATATCCTTTAATCATCTAATTTTGTCAATTGAGCCTTTATTTATGTCTACCTTCGCTAAAGTGCGCCACGTGAGTAACATAATTAAATGGTTCAGAGGTTCAATTGACACAAAATATAAAAAATTTAGGGTCTTAATTAACATAAGAGTTAAAAAAAATTAGCATAAGAGTTATACTTTGAGCGTATATATATATATTTTACATAGGTCCGGCCCAATAGAATTAAAAAAAAACATGGATTTTAGGTCTTAAATTTTTAGAAGGTCCCATAAGATACATAATTAGTTCACATAAAAAATTTAAATTCATGAAAATTTTAGGCCTTATAAAAAGGTCCCAAAAAATTTAAGCCTAATCAAAAAATTATAATTTCAATAATTTGAGCTTACCATTCAATCCATAATATTAGAAACTCAAAAATAAAAAATTTTAAAAATAAATAAATAAATAAAATCTCTCTCTCTCTTTCTTAAAAAACAAAAACAAAGTATCATATCCCCCTCTCTCACTTAAAAAAAATTATTTTTTTAAATAATACTAAAAATAAAAAAGTCTTATTTATTATTACTATTTTAGGCCTCAATTTACCTTGAGTCGCCCCTGATTTTACTCCAACTATTTGTGTCACGTGAGTGACATGTTTCACCACTTTCAACTAAAAAATATAACAGTGATCGACAAAAAGGTTTATAACTTTAATTTCTATATTTTCATTCTATTTTTGTTTCTTGTCCTTTTTGAATTCAAATTAAATGAAAATTTATTATTAATAAAATAATATTATTTATACTTAATTTATTAGCCCTAATTACTATCATTAAATTGACAGTAGAACTACAATATTACTTGAGATCCACTATTAAACAAAAAATTATAATACAATAGGTCACAAAATAAAGTCAATAAATTAAATTCAAATAAGAATTTCCTTATTAGAGAATTTTACAAAGTGAGGACAGGAAAGTTATTTGGTAAGCACAGAGAAGAAGAGGCCAAGATTAAATCGAACACTTAACAACACTTTCGTAAACAACAAGAAACTCTAATGGCGGACAAGAGAATGCCTTTTGGAAAATCCTTTATTTAGTTGAAAATACAATTATGCCCTTGTAGAGGGATTTAGTAAGCGTAAATTTGTGGTGTTACTTGTAGTTTACAGAAAATATGGGGGTTAACTTGCCATTCTCTAATCTATTTACGCGCTTTAGAGGCTCTCGTAATAATCGTCAGCCAAGTGTGACACGTCAGCACGATGAACTTTTGCCGGCTGCTATCACTACCAACGCACCTTTCCATGCCACTCGATGCCAAATGTTTAATTTTCGTCTCAATTTATCGTCTCAGGATAATATCGTTGACCAATTAAAATTATATGAGTTTTACTAACATATTAACACTTAATAATACCAAAAAAAAACACTTAAAAATAAAATCTACCAAAACAAATTTAATAAATCAAAGTGTAAATGATAAAAACTAAAATTAAAAAATTAAAAATATCATAATCGACAAATAAAGTTATAATTTATAATCTTAGGCGCCTTGTTTTAACCAATATTTAATTAAATTTGCTAATAGTTTATTAAATTTGAGATATTTTTTGTTCTTATTTTTAAAAAAATACATATTGGTTAACAATTGTCCAAATCCCACAAAAGTACATAATGACAACAAATATCACATATATCTCTTTTTTTTCAATGGTCAAAAATGTCTGAACTAACTTACACACATATAAAAGACACGACCGGATGCATAGATTTCATATGAAATAGTATCATTTAAAACTATGATATGATAACAAAATCCCACCAAGCATTGGCCGGGTGGATACATCAATTTCACTATAAAATTAATTCACGAGTAATGTTAGATTGATAAAAAAAAATGAATAAAAAATAGGGATCAAATTTATTTTATTAAAAAAATATTATATCATTTGATCAATATTTTTTTTTTTTAATCAGTGTAGCACTACTCTTAATTACACTTCGAAAAAAAGAAAACGCTCATTTATTTGAAGATCAAAATCAGGAGGTGTTGGGTGACATTAATTGAAAAAGATAAGAGTTGCTCACCCATCCTTATCTGTCATACTATCATGCCAACTTTAGGTTGGCATTTTTAGATGAAAGTTCATATGACTCTTGACATCCATATCTATATACCTCATCACTTTGGGTTGGAAATGTAGGTTTAGAGTTCACACAATGCTCGTTATCAATTCCAAAAATAACAAAAATAAATGGTATATCTTATCAATTTTTATTTATTTTTCCTAAGTCCATCACTCTATCAAATTATTTCTTCAAATTCTTAGCAATAATAGCAATTCCCACTAAGATTTGAAAATTAGCCAAATATATCACTAGAATTGTCTTTAAGTAAAAAAATATTAGCCAAATAGGGGAATTCTCATAACAAAAGCCATCTAAACAAAGTGGAGGACCGCGGAAGCCTTATTTAGTCGACCCATGTCATCATAAAAATGTCAGGGGATGATCCTGTAATGCATCCATATGAAGGGGCCTGCGAGTGTAATTTTTCTCATTTTTAACCCCTGTTTCAAATATCTATTTCACCCCCATTTTATTTCTTATTATCAAACTATTCCGTCATTTTCTATACCCACCTCATACTATATACAACTATTTAATAAGTAAGTCCACCTTATATATTCTCACAATTAAAACTTTATTCATTATCTCATCTCATGCATTCACAAAAATATTTTTTTTTTTAAAATGAATTTTTGTAATGAGATATAAGTTAATATTACTTTTTGATTTCATGTGTGAAATGTAGGTTTCTATTTTTTTTGTTATGTTTTGGTATCTCGGTCAAGTTTAATAATTTTTTATTTAAAGTTTATATGTATGCGTAATATATATTCAAGTTGTTTAAAATGTTACAGTAAACGCTATTTTAATAGAAAACTTATTTCGTTTGACAAACTTGTGTTGTTGCTAAATTAGTCTTTGTGATATAGCCTTTGTGAATTAAAAACCTTGTTTCGTTTTTATTTTTCAATGACAGATTTCTTCTTTTATTTTCTTGATTTCTTCTATCTTATTTTATTTATTAAAAAGATATATGTGACATAAGGTGAACTTATTTACTAAGAGCAATGTTATAGGGACCTTATTTTGGGCCAAAGGCGGCCCAAGGTAAGGAAGGGCCCTAGGCAAAATTTTTATCCGAGGTCCTATTAATATTTGGTCTATTAATATATTTTATTTTTAATTATTATAATTTTTTTTATGTTTTTAAGAATTATTTTTTATTTTTTAAAAAATTTAAAATATTGATCAAGTTTTTATACTCAAGTTTTGACAATAATTTTTATTAATAGATAATATTGTTAATTCATTCACTCTTAGTTGATTGTAAATAAAATTTTATCAATTTAAGTTTTTAACAAGTAATTTAATAATAAAATATGTGAGCAAAGAATAATTTTAAGATAAATAATAATCAGTCTTTACTCATAAATAATGTGCACACATGAAGTACAAAATTTTAATAATATAGATAATTTAAGTATAAATTATTTGAACTGAAAATTTATATTAAGACAAAAAAAAACCAATTTTATAGATTTTCACCACAAGAAATAATAAATAAAATTTTTTTATGCGAGTGAGTGAAATACAACTATGAACACACCAAAAATATTTAAAAAATTTTAAATCAAAGCTCACACGAAAGAGTAATTTTAGACCCAAAAAAATTAAATATTGGTTTGAACTATTAAAATTTGAGCTCTAAAAATTTGAATCATATCTAAAATACAAAAAAAAAAAAAAAAGACTATTATACTAAAGTGGTAAATAGATAATATAATTTTATGGAGGTCTCTAAAACTTGAGCTTAACCAAGTAGAAAGTAATTTTGGATTTAATAAAATTAGATATTGATCTGAACTAATAAAATTTGGGCCCTAAAATTTTAATAATATCTAAAATAAAAAATTAGGCATATTATACTAAAGAGATAAATATTGTGGGGCCCTAGACAAGCAACTTAGTTGCCTAAGGGTTGGGCCGATCCTCTTTGGGGCCCTAATAATGTGGTGTCAATGTAATAATTAGATTAGTTATAAATTCTAATGTTAAATGGAGCCTACAATTAATTTAATGATTGTACATTATTAAGTCTCTAGATTATGTTCTTAAATTAAATCCAAATAGTATTTTCTATTTACTAATAAAGTGAGTATAAAAAAAAAATCAACTTAAGAATTTGATAATAAAAAATTAAATAAGGTAAAAAAATATATTTTTGGAATGGAAATAACCTCCCCCTTCGAATAAATAATCTGAACTCGGCTCAAAGACTTTGTTAACATTTTCCTTGTTAGTATCAATTCCGTGAAGTTTTCGAACAACTTCTGAGAATTTGACCTTTTCTAATTTATCCACCACATACGTCAGGTGTACGCCAAACCGTTATTTTAGAGAGAGAGAGAGAGACTTGATTCAAGAACCATTGGATATGAAGCATAGTAATCATAGTCACAGGTACTAAGTTGAGGGCTTTAAGAAGGAGAGAAACAGAGAGAGAGAATTGTGCTAATTTTGTCACCGATTCTAAGAGAAAGAAAAGATGAAGTTCTGCAAGAAATATGAAGAGTACATGCAAAGACAAAATCAGAGGAAACTACCTGGGGTTGGTTTCAAGAAGCTCAAGAAAATCTTGAAGAAGTGTAGGACAGAGCTTCAATCCCACAATGACCTCCAAAATCATGGTGATGTGGTTCTCCACCACATCTCCACTTGCCCCAATCATTGCCCAGGTACATATCTTTGATTCAAGAACACAACACCCAGATCAAGTTCTATCAGTTTTATATTTGATTTTGTTATTTTGGGTCTTGGGGGTAATCTATTGCACAGATCAATGTTATGTCATAAATGTATCTTGGAAGCCTTTGAAAATTCACATGAAGCAATCGCCATGTCTTTTCAACAGAATGGTGTGTGTATAACTTAGCTTATAGTTTGTTCTCTTCATCTCAGACACTTCTGATTAAATTCTAATTTACTCTTTATGTAGTCTGCGATGGAACTTTTTTCCCTTCCCTTTTAAAGGAAATGTCTGCAGTAGTGGGTAGCTTCAATGAACGTGCGCAGAAATTGCTCGACCTTCATCTAGCTTCAGGTTTCCGTAAGTACTTCATATGGTTTAAAGTGAAGCTGCAAGGAAACCATCCTGCCTTAATTCAAGAAGGCAAAGACTTGGTGACATATGCACTAATCAATGCCATTGCGATGCGTAAAATACTCAAGAAATATGATAAGGTATATATATATATATAAATATATAAATATATATTCGTCTAATGTTTTAGCAATTAAATGGAGTATTAGTAAATTATGCTCTGGCTTTGAGTTACGAAATTGACGCATTCAAGAACTTTTATTTTGATTATAGATTCATTACTCTAAGCAAGGCCAAGCATTCAAGTCACAAGCCCAAAGTATGCACATTGAGATTCTCCAGTCCCCATGGCTATGTGAGCTTATGGCTTTTCACATAAATTTGAGGGAAACAAAGGCCATTACAAGGAAGGCTCCTGCATTGTTTGAGGGCTGCTCTCTAATAATCAATGATAGCAAACCATCACTCTCTTGTGAGCTCTTTGATTCAGTAAAGATTGATATTGACTTGACTTGTTCTATATGTTTGGTAAGTGCCTGGGATTTTCTATTAATCATGCCTATTACTTCAGCACATGACTCAGAAGAGAACTTTCTTCAATTAACCTTGGCCACACATGGGTTCTTTGTTACTGTTGACATTGCTAGTTCTATAGGTTTGGTGGATCCGCAGATTTTCTTCTATTTATCGTTGACGCCAAAACTTTGATTAATCATATGACCGCATTTATTTGTTCATTTGGTTGCTCAAAACATCGGTTTGGGATTGTGGCCTCTAGGTTTAATACGATTTCTTTTCCAATATTGAAAATGAATTCTTGAAGTTAAGTCTGATTATCAGAAATTTTAAACGTGAAAAGCATCACTTGCATGGTGTTCCACTTCCACTCCTGCCCTGTTTCCGAACCTTTCTCTAAACATTCTCGTGATTTTGAACAAACCTCACATATTGTAAAGGGCTTTGAAGTGTGGCCTTTTTAGATTTGTTGTTCCGGCTAGTCAATTTCCATAGTTAGGGAAACTCCAGTATCGATTGTGATAAACTTTCAAGACAAAGTTAAGTTATTAAGTTAAAGATAATGCAAGATATTGGAAACCACTAGTAGTTTGTACCAGATAAAGATTTAGTCTTATGTGCCAAGAATTAGAAAGAGCTACAGCAACATAAGAAATTCCTGTCAATAATACACCCTCCCGAATGAACATATTATCCAAAAAAAAAAGTTCTTAGTCTCATAAATGTATGGGTATTCTTAGCATGGTGTTACACTGTATTACATGAAGGTACCCCAGAATACGATTTAAAGCATTTTGGTTTGGGATCCACGAGGTCTCTGGCAATCATTTCTTTTTTTTTTGAAATTTCAGCACTTCAATCATCTTCCAAATCATGTACAAATTTCTGATTGACATATAGCTAGGTGTTTTTATAAGCCAACCCATTGATCTAATTTGACTTGTTGTAACAGGATACAGTATTTGATCCAGTATCTCTTACCTGCGGTCATATCTTCTGCTACATGTGTGCTTGCAAGTCTGGTTCAGTGACCATAGTGGATGGGTTAAAGGCAGCAGATCCCAAGGAAAAATGCCCCCTCTGCCGAGAGGTGAGTTATTATCTTTAAAATTCTCTACCAATTTTTTCTTTCGCATTTTCTGTTCAATTTTTAGTAGCTTCTGCTTTATTTATCTGACAAAAGCATTTCTAGACAACTGAAGGGACAGATAATTGCATTGAAATAATCATTTGAGAAAAAAAATATGCATAGGTTGATGCCAAAGTTGCATCATTAAATACCGAAGCACACAATTGCTCAACCAAATATATGTCGTTGATCTTGGAAACCTCAGGAGGATGACATTTTATAGTTGAAAAGTTACATGCTGATAAGTATGCCTCTTCCTAAAATGGTTTCCAATAGTCCTAAAATGGTTTCCAATAGTGTTTCCAATGGTATCTAGTGTCTAAAGTTATTGAACATTCAGTCACAATATTTTGTCATAATTCAGAGGTGCACTGCAGTTGTTACACCGAAAAAAGGGGTTATTTATTGGAAATAATTATTCTTTGTTGAAATTAGGGTTGATATCCTCTGTACCTTGATGTGGTGAGCCTTGATACTCATCAGGAAGAATGAGATGTTCTGTTTCATGAATCTAATAGTTTAATGATCTTATACTGTTGTAATAAATCGATTCTGATTGATTTCAGGCAGGAGTTTATGAAGGTGCTGTGCACTTGGATGAGCTGAACATTCTATTGAGCCGGAAGTATATATTTTCTGACCATCTGATTTATTTGATAATCAGACAGCTGAGGTGGTTAAATATGTTGTCATTTTTGTTGCACCCCCTAGCAAATTTCTTACTTATCATTCTTGAATTGAACAGTTGTCCTGAATATTGGGAAGAACGTCTTCGGGTTGAAAGAGTGGAAAGAGTTCGGCAGGCCAAGGAGCATTGGGAATCCGAGTGCCGGGCATTCATGGGCGTCTGAATTAAAGAGATCTTTTTCCTTCAGTGTTAGAAATATGGTACCACTGCATAAATCAGTTGATGTTTCCTTGGTTGGGGATGTTCTGTATCTCGCACATGCGAATAAATTTGTACATATCTATGTTTTGTTCCATGTAATGACATTTTGGAGTTCTTCATAAGGCTTGTTAGTGTCTTGCTAGGCTGAAATGGAGTGCAATTGTTGTAAAATGTTGGTTGTTGTTCAGAGTTTAGGGTTTATGGAGGGTGAATTCCCTATAAAGTATTTGGGAGTCCCTATTATATCTACAAGACTTAAGGCTTTGATGATGATGTTTTGAGGGGGGGGGGGGGGGGGGGGGGGGGGCTTTGGTATAAAAAATTTAGCTGAGTGGAATAAAGCTTTGATGATGAGGCACATGCAGAATTTGTTTACTGATAAACGCAGCCTTTGGTCTAATTGGATAAGAGCTTCTGGGAAGTTAAAAAAACCTCAAATCTGCTCCTGGAATTGGAGAAAGATTCTTCGACTCGGAGATATGGCCAGACCTTTAATGCATCATGTTGATTGGTAATTGGACGAAAACACACTCATGGCATGATAACTGCCATACATGTGATCCTTTGTTGCTAGGGTACTCCTGTAGAACTCTGTATGATTCAGGTTTGCCTAAGGGAGCATAGGTCAGTTCTATTGTTTCAAGGGGAGGAGTGGTGTTGGACTGATACATATTCAGACGAGTTGCTTGAAATTAATGCCTCAATTCCCTCTTATAAGCCTAATAGCTTAAAAGAGGATATTATTCTTTGGAAGCCTGCTGCACGTGGTTTATTTTCAGTAGCTGCAGCGTGGGACCATATTAGAATTCAATCACCTATCGTTAATTGGTGCCACCTAGTGCGGTTCAACAAGGCTGTTCCAAGGTGGAGTTTCATATTATGGCTTGCCATCAAATGTAAACTGATGCCACGGTGGAGTTGATTGTGTACTTTGCAGATCTGCCATGAAGACCATCAACATCTATTTTTCCAATGTTCCTATTCAGGTAGGGTATGGTTCTCAGTGATTAGTAAATGTGATTTATGTATGCAAAATATGCCGTGGTGTTCCTTGGTTAATTGGGCTGCCAATGAATGGAGAGGAAAGGCCTTGACGACAATTATAATGAGCCTATGTTTATCAGCAACTGTTTATTATATTTGGAAAGAGAGGAATTCAAGAATCTTTCATAACTCAATTCAAAGAAACTGAGACAATGAAGCTTGAGTTGTGTGCAGTGTTAAGGGAAAGATTGTCTACTCTTTAAGTTTTCAAACTATTCTCATAGAAGACTATTTGCAACATTGCTGCAGTAGATATTCAATATGATGTTTGCTGAAGGCCCTTGCAATTCATTTACTCACTGAGTTACACAAAATAGAGTGAAATGTTGTTATTTGCTTGCTCTGAGGATACGACTTCTTAGAGTTGAGTGGAGTTATTACTGAGTGTGATCATGATTGATAGCAAGTAGTTTGCTGTATACTGTATTGGAAATCTTGTGTTGATTTCTGCTGGACATGGCTGAGCTCCATTGCTTGAGAGAATGCCTTGAAGTTATGCCTTTTCACTGGTTGTGCCTATTGTTGTTGGGAATCCAATTATTTGGCTGTGCTTTGTTACTGGTTGTGCCTATAGTTGATTATTGTGACTTGATGGTGTGCATCTGCACTTTGTTAAGAAGTTTTCGTGTTTTTCCTCTTTCCTTGTAAGGCTCTATATTTTCTACCAATAAATATTCAAATTTTATTTACCAAAAAAAAAAAATGTTGGTTGAGATGGCTTACCCTTTTGGTGATGCATTACTTGGTCTTTCGTTTAACCTGATTCTAACGTGTAGAGAGATTATTTTAATACCTTAAATCCGTGATGCTTAGGGCAATGAAGTAATTTTATTATTAGATCAAAGGTCGCTTTGAATAAAAACTAAAAAAAAATTAAAAAGCTAAAAATAGTTCAAAAAGAATTGGGAAATTTGGAGGCCGGTCCCTGGACTTGTTTGGACTTAAATCCGTCAAAAAAATTTATTTGTTATGAAATCTATTTTTTGTCAATTTTATCATATTATCCCTTCCTTTTAGAAGTGGAATAAAGTTAAAAATTAAAAACTCCTAAATCTTAGGAGTTTGACTAACATTAAAATTTTTTATCTTTTATATCTATCTATATCCATGCATAGGTTAAGAGTTTGATTAACATTAAAATTTTCTCTTTCTCTTATCTATCTATATATATATAGTAATACATTAAAAATAAAAAATAGTAATATTCAAATACAAAAAAAATTATCATTTGAACACAAAAAATAATACATTTAAACACAAAAAAATAGTAACATTTAAACATAAAAAAATTAAAACATTTAATATTAATATTTTTAAAAAATAACAACAGTAACATGTTCAACAAAAATAGTAACATGCTTAATAAAAAACTATAACATACTTAAAAATAATTATTTCTTTCAAATTCAAATGTAAAAAATAGTACCATTCAAATACAAAAAATAGTAATATTAAAAAAAAAATAGTAATATTAAATATTAATATTTAGAAAAATAATAGTAGTAACATGATAAACAAAAACAGTAATATGCTCAAAAATAAGTATATGAACAGTAACATACTAACAAAAACAGTAACATAATAAAAAAAATAGTAACATGAATTTGAATTTTACTATTCAAATTCATAGTAACTTTTTTTTTTGTATTTGAATGTTATTATTTTTTTTAATGTTATTATATATATAAATAACCTATATATGGATATAGATAGATAAGAGAGAGAAAAAATTTTAATATTAGTCAAACTCTTAACCTATATATGAATATAGATAGATATGAGAGAGAAAATATTAATTTCTTTTTAAGGAAGGGTATTTTTGAGATAAAAATAAAAAGTGGACTTAAGTCATTACATATAATTTTAAACATGAACTTAGCCTCCTTATAACTTTTCTTACAGGACTTATTTTTAAATAATTACATTTAGGAGGACTCACTTCCAATTTTTACAAAATAATTAGGTTAGAGCAGCCAAATGGGCCCTCCCTCCAAGGATGGGTTGTTGGATTTGGAGGCCCAAAATTACAAATTAGATAGGATGGTATATAGCAAATAATGGGCCGAAAGGCAAGGGAGTTTCGATTCAGTTCATAGCCCAATGATCTCTCAACGGGCCAGCCTTTTCTTGGATTATCTCCCCCCTTCGAGTAAAGCAAAAGTTCAACGTCAGCCCAAATGCACCTCAATCATATGGACCTTTGATTCACCGACTTTCCTAAGAGAACCAATCTTGACCCTTAAACTTCCTGATCGTCCAATAGAATTCCTCGTCTGGTCACACGCTATAAACTATCCGAGGCTCTGAGCGATCACATGTTAAAACATTGAAAGGGTTTAAGAGTAAAGAGGGTAGTTGTACTTCAACACTTTTTGTCGCAAGTTTTACTCTCCCACTCTACTTTGCTTCTAGGGTTTCCCATTTTGATTCTTTCTTCTTCTAGACAACAACATGAGGTAATCTTTCTTCTCTGCTTCTGATTTTTGCGATTCTCGGGTTCTGACCCCCCTTCCGATTGAATCTTTTATGATACGAAGAAGAAAATACGAACAAGTTTTTCTTCTTCGATTTTTGAAATGGAACATAGTTTGTATACTAGGAACTTAATTAAGTTTTTGGTTCTTGTTTCATACGTTGCTTTTTGTCCCCCTTAGAAGCTGAGATCTCAATGGTAAATGGTTAATATTTGCGTTAGGCTCACTTTCGTGAAGTTTATAGTTTCCTTGGATTCTATTTAGTGCAATTCTATGTACTGGTTTTTGTTGGATAGTGTACTTTTTTTTTCTTAGTTTTCTATGATTTGTAACCAAGTAGAGTATATCTGATCTCGCTAATTGCTTTCAGATGTGTAGTACACAATGGCATGACTCTTTTCTTGCTGTCTCATCTACAGCTAAAGAACAGATTTCTAGGATTTTTGTTGTGTTAATGGTTGAACAAATGTTTTTTAAGTTTACAGTTGGTTCATGGAATTGTTATGCATGATGAATGAGAGGAGTTCTACTAGGCATGATTGTAGAATAGGTTTATGAGGTTGAGTAACAAGTCAGATCAGATCCGTTAAACATAACAGTTTACTTGATTGGATTTTGTATTTAACTACATTCTGAAATTTACTTGTGCTTTACATAATTCTTTAAATTGATCGTCATTTTATTTTGAACAGTGTTCAGTATAAGTTTCAATTGATAATTTTCTTTACTTCTTGGTTGAGTACATAATTTCCTTTATTGTGTGGTTCAAAATATGAATATTTGATGCAACATGTAAACGGAAAATATACCGTAATCAGAGGTTGAGTTCTGTGAGGAGTTGGTATGACCTTGTAGATAAAGGCAATATGCTGTGATGAGAAAAATGGGATATTGAACTGTCCAAACTGTATAAACTAAATGCTTGTGTTATTCTCTTACTCCTTCCCACTTTTGGCCTAGTTCAGTATTCTAACAATGTAGTCCCTCCCCCCCCCCCCCTTCCCCTTCTTAGTGCCACTGAAGCTGGTCATACTACATCCATAGATATACCCTAGTTTCTTTAGTACCTTGAGAACTTGTGCCAATGTGAATGTGTATATCATGTTCACTTAATATTCGATGACCATACATGTTGGATATCCTTATAATCCTGGTCTTGTTTCTTTATTGTTTTAATTATTTTTGGCGTTTGGTCTGTCTTTAAGCCTTCTTCTAAGTTTCTTTTAACTTTGTAGTCGTCATCCTGAGGTGAAGTGGGCCCAGCGGGAAGACAAGGTCTATATTACAGTTCAGTTGTCAGATTCGGCAAAATGCAAAGGTCAATCTTGAACCAGAGGGGTTTTTTACCTTTTCTGCTAATTCAGGAGCGGGGAACCACCTCTATGAACTGAAGCTTGATCTTTTTGATAAGGTTAATGTAGAGGTAAGAGGCTAGTTCCTTCATTTGTTATTTTCTTTTACTCGTTCTAAAATCGTTGCAGTTCTATAATTTAGGATTATGGTGCACCCTACACTGCACATTTATCTCTTGTTTACACTGACTTTGTAAGTGGACAATTTTGTCTGTTCTTTAATTGTCATACCTCCATCTTATATGCACTTAAGATGAATCTAGATACTGAAAGCGCAATAAACCTGTGGTGATTGTATTTGGGGACTGAATCTATGAAATAACGCAGACGTAATTTACTGTTCATTCCTTTTGGGTAATGGAAAGGGGATAAATTTTTCTTCGGGGAAATACATTACGTGCCAAGTTGCATGCTTTCTTTGCTCTCTCTGATGTTGTTGGTTCATTGTTACAGGACAGCAAAATACATATTGGTGTGAGAAGTATATTCTGTATCTTGGAGAAAGCAGAGAAGAAATGGTGGAAAAAATTACTGCGTGGAGAGGACAAGACACCACACTACGTGAAAGTAGATTGGGATAAATGGGTGGATGAAGACGAGGATACTGGTATTTTCATTTGGGTTTCTTACTTCATCAATTTAGTGTGTTGTTTGGAGTAGGAAATCAGTTGATAACTTTGAATTCCACCTCACTATTTGATTAGGTGCTCCTGACCCTGATTTAGGAGGCATGGATTTATCGGTGAGGATCTGCCAGCTTATAGTTTTACTTGTTTGTGATTTTCTGCTTTGGAATTTGTGTTGATTGTTCTAGTTATTGATGTATATTACAGAGATTTGGTGACATGGGAGGCATGGGCGGCATGGGTGGCATGGGCGGCATGATGGGGGCATGGGTGGCATGGGCATGATGGGAGGCATGGGTGACATGATGGGAGGCATGGGTGGCATGATGGGAGGCATGGGCGATGATGCTATGGGTGATGATTTTGATGACTCTGATGAAGAAGGTAAGATTGTCAAACACATTTGTGTTTGATATGCAGAGTTGGTGCTTCATATGTTGACAGATGTGTTTTGTTAATTGCTATAGTTTTATGCTTAGAAAATAAAATGGTAGCATTGCATTTTTCCCCTGATATTTGTTTTTTTTTGGGGCTAGGAGTGTGTCACGGGATGGGTAGGTTGGGGTGCAGAAGTATCACTTTTGTTGGAGACTAACATTTTCTGTTGGATCCCTGTGCACTTTTCGTTGGATCCTTGTGCATATGCCAGATTGTGATTCTGCCTCACAATTAACATGCTCAAAGAAAGTTGTAGACTAACATTGTCACGTGAATTATGGGCACGGGATATACTGAAGTCATGAAAATTTTTAGCAACCAAGGGCAGGGGATTTCTTTCATCAATTATGCCGCCCTTATCCGGGCCAATCCCTAGAGAGAGAGAGATACATATTTCAACACTTTTCATGCTATTCAGGTACAGTAGGGATGAGAGTATGTGTGTGACTGAGTAATAGTGCTACTCCATGTCATCCTATTTCACCTCTTCGTGGTCTGTGCATGCAATGGTTGCTAATCCATACTTTTCAATGTTCGATAGTGGCTCTTCGAGTCTGTCCACCGTTAGATTTTGCTGCCCATGCTTTGACTGACTGCATTATGGTTTACTGCCTATTTCCTCTATAAAGTCGTCTTTGTGGTTAGAAATGGAGGAGAACAAGGCTTTTACCAAGTTTGTAGAGTTATGTTGTGATCAGTTCTAGCTTAAGGTTCTTGTGACCACTGGGCTTGCCTCACCATGGGTGTGTTGCTGTTTTGGCTTTGTGCTGGGAGTTGGTTAGGCATTCCTTCTCACAGTGCCGCCATTCTAAGTCCCGTAGAATATGCCATGGATTTGTGGTGTTCGCTGTTAACCATATATGGTGCAGTTTGCAAATGCCTCAGAGGATAGTTAATCTTGGAGGGGAAATTTCCTGTTGGTTAGGGTTTTAGCTCGCGCGTAGCAGTATGAGAGCCTATAGCCAGTGGCGGAGACATGTTATGGCCCCCTCAACATTTTGAAATTATATATTATACTCCTAAAATTATGTTTTGATCACATTTTTTGTCACTCAAATTCTTAAGATTATAATTTATACATTAAATTATAATAATCTTGAGATCCTCCCAACTATTGATTTGACTACGTTTAACCATTAACTATTGAAATTGTTACATTTTGCATAAATCTTTAAATTTTGGTATTGTATAAAAAATTGTAAATTTTAGATTACTTTAAATTATTAATAGTACAATTGATTTGACTTTTACATCTAATAATTCAACTAGTTTCGATTAACTTTAGTCGTTTTATTGAAAATAATAATTACACTGTATTGTATAAGATTGAGCCTTATATGTATGTTCTATGCATGTAAATATCATATCATTAACGATGTCATTGAATGATCTACACTGAATAAAAATATCTTGTTATATCACTATTTGGCCCCCCTCTGGCTATAGGCTCTTTAAAAAAACATTTCTTCATGATCCTGCCACAACTGTGGTGTTCTTGGGCATTGCCAGCTGTGGAATTTGGTGTTACTGGTGATTATTGTTTCTGGGTATTATACACACCCAGCTTTTAGTTACTGGGTTAAGCCCTGTTCGATTTTCTTGTCTGATATTGTGGTTTTTCCCAAGTTAAGAAAAGGCGCCATCCTTTATAGTTAGGTCATTTTACACCTGGTTGAGATGAAGTAGCAGGTTTCAGAGGGTTGTTATCAGAAGCTTAGATTTTACGTGATTTTGACATCTCCACCCCATGTGGAAAAGAAAGAGGAACCTGATGCTCCAGTGGAATACAAGACTTGGTTGAGATGCATGTCAGAGAAGTGT